AGCTAAGGGGTGCCGCCGTTTGGCGCCCGTCGCCCCGGCAACCACCACGGATTCCGGTCAAAACTCGCATTCTAATTAAAACAACCTATTCTTCTTTTTATCTTACAATATAATGTTTAGATATAAAGATTACGTGTCACGTTGTTTGTCCGCGATGGACTCCTAAACTACTGGACCGATTGCAGATTTGATTTGCACATTGTGTGCAATTTATTTATTTATTGGCATACAACCTTAGCCACAGCAACGCGTGGCCGGGTCTGCTAGTATAGTATATAGTGTAAGGGATGGTAAAACAATGGCGCATTCGCCTGCGCTAACGGTTTACGCTGGCAAAGCACCAGTGGAGGATGACAGGATGAGCTAACCACATGTAAGGTCAGTTCAAGGACAGATCGTGAATTTGTTGGGCCCTATACTAAAACTATTTAGGGTTCCACCTAATTATATAACTTAACTAAAAAAATACACAGAGCAACAACAAGCGATGGGGAATTCCTCGTTCCGTTGGATGACGCGCAGAGAATTTACTTTAATATTATTATATATATTTAATTTCCATTTTTGTACAACTCCAGCCGAGATGTTACAATTTGCCTAACAGTGACACCGAGGCAGACCTTATGGGCATTATGATAAGTATTTAATATTTTAGATACTTTTCTATATATCGCCTATTATTTTCAGTGTCAGTGGAGGCTGAGAGACCTTTTTATTCACGGAGCCCTGGGCTGCAGCCTAAAACGCCGTTAGGTAGATCCGCCCCTAGGTCAGTTAGCCTAATGTGACAAATTCACCAGGAATTGTCATGATTTCCAGTGTCGCGTGGAGGTTAACTTGATATAGTATAATGCCAGCATCAGTCCACATTACTAACAATCTTCCCACCAATATCTTATAATATAATTAACTCTGTGCATGTGATGGTAGAGTGAGACTATAGTGTATTACCACTCGTTTACATATTAAGAGGCCAGCACGTGGCCACACGTGGCCAGCGTGGTATCCCAATAGTACTCATTACTTACTCATATGAGCAAAGACACGTATTATCATAAACAAAACAATGATTGGTTCCTCTTTTACGACAAATGATTATATGTTTGATAGTTATTTTTTCTCTCAGACGGCAATTATAAGAGAAATGAAAACAACACATATTATAATAAAAGATTAATCAGATATTTAGACATTAGCAGGTTAATTATAAATCTAAATTTGTAATAGTTATATAGTCAGGTAAGATTATTTGACATAAGTTTACAAACATGTTTTGAAATTTCAAGCAGAATTTAATAAAACTGGTACACAAAATATATTCTATTAAAATCTACAAATTATCTAAAACCAAATGCAACTTATTAATATTCGAGGATATGAACGAACTATATATTCTTAATAATCATGAATTATTTTGCTGGCTTATTGTTGCAATTACGATCGTGTCCAATTCATGACTGCATAGCTTCAAATACACCCTATATACAGCGGCGCGGCCTGACACAAAACGTATTTAGCTAATGTTATTTGTAGAATTAATGTATTAAAATCATGCCAAATGATGGGGAGGACGTACTGTCATGAATGTTATTCTGAATGGACATTTTCGTAAATAACAAGTCTTATGTGACATATGTTGTCTTAAGTGCATCGAATGAATGATAGATTGAACCCATAAAAAGCCATTTGACCTAAATAATATGACAAACTAATAAAACGATAATAAATTTAATTACAACAATATTATATATAGTTAACTAGTTATGTAAACTAAATTAAACATGATACATAAGACTAAGTTAAAGCTAAAGTTTGTGAGCATAGTTGGATGTTTGTTACTCTTTCACGCAAAAACTGATTTTGATGAAACTGTAAGTAATATAGCTTATACATCAGAATTACATAAATAAATTTCATATGGATGAAGCCGCGGAAAGAGAGAGTAAAAAAAATCAAAATAACCACTTTTTATATACACCATATAATAAATACAACTACAAATAGTAGTAGAGAAGGCTAGACAAGCGAGTAATAAAATTTAAAAAGCATACATACAAATACAAAATATAGTCAGGACAGTTACTAGCAGTCAGTAACTACTAAGTAGCTAGAGCCACTTTCAACTTTCACTTGATATTATTGCTTTATTGAATGATTATAGGGATGAGCCACTATGGCGATGTCGATGGGCAGTATTGACTAAGTAATAGCCTACATTTAAATATCAAGAATGGATATTGAGGCGGCCCGGATGACGCACGCCCGCAGCCTCGAACATTCACGGAACAACCCCCTAGACCACCCCCGGCTGGCCGCCGCTGGCCGCCGCTGGCCGCCGCTGGCCACACTCGCCAATGTATTTCGTGTGCCATTTCCATACAGCACCTATCATTATAGTAATTTAGGTTACACTAATACTAATGTACAGATATACATAATGTATACATAACGCTTACCGCAATACCATTAACTAGCGGAGAAAGGGGTTTGTTTTTTTTCTCTTATAATGATAATAATAATAATCTCAGGACAATTCACACAGCGCCATCTAGACCCAAGTTAAGCTAGCTAAAGCTTGTGTTATGGGTACTAGACAACTGATACAAATACATAGATTTTTAACTTTAATAACAACAATCATACTCATGAATACAAATGTTTGTGCCGAGCGAGGAATCGAACCTGCGACCATCGGACGTAAAGCGGTGTGCTAGACCGCTAGACCACCGAGGTCGTCAGTATATATATCTTCATTTTTAATTATGCTGTAAATATAGGCATTTTTAGAAATCAAACCTTTTTTACTAGGTAACATTCCATAACAATACTGCAAAATTTGGCGCTGTATGAATTGTCCTGAGATTATTATTATTATTGTATATGATATACATACGTATATAATAACATATATCAATAAATGTTTGTTACTCTTTTACGCAAAAACTATTCAACGGATTTTGATGAAACTTTATAGTAATATAGCTTATACATCAGATGAACCAGCTACGTTATACATTTCATGCGGATGAAACCGTAGGCACGCATAGTGTAATTTATTTTCTCACTTTAGGGACATAGTTATATGGACATTGTATTAAAAAACTAATGAATCTGTGACATCTCGCTATGACTGCTCAGTTAGAGTAGCACTCACAATGAGTGTAAGTAAGCTACAGAGTTGAGACGCGGCTGTTTAAGTGTGATTTGTAGTAAGTTATTTATTGATTATAACAAATGTAATACTAGATGTACTCGCCACTTCGTCCGCGTGGAAATTAACTTTATATTTCGAAAATAAAAGTAGCCTAAATTACTCCTAATTACATCAAATACTTGCCAATAAAAGTCTCGTCAAAATCGGTCCAGCCATTTCGGAGATTAGCCGGAACAAACAAACAGACAGACAGACAAATTGTAAAAAATATTATTTTGGTGTATGTACCGTATTTATATTCACATGCAAAAATGATTATTTCAATATTACAAACAGATACTCAAATTTTATTTATATGTATAGATTTACGAGCCCCTGAGTGTGAGCTCTTAAGTAGTGTTTGAGTTAAATGCACTCAGTGTGCCAGTGGGGAAGGCAGGTGTCTCTTCCCACGGCCGCCCTCGACCAGCTGACGAACGCTGCCGGCCGCCCGGCCGGTCCAGATCATTAGAGCATTTTCGGAATCATTGAAGAATAAATTTCCGTATTTAAAAGAAATTTGTTGTATTCGTACAATCACATTTGGTTGTAACTAAACATGGTTATTAAAATGACACGTCAACTCAATATATTGCTAGTAATGGGGTTAGTAGTCTACTAGCGATTCCCCTGCATATATACCTACTAGCTTTTGCCTGCGGCTTCGCGTTAATTTATCCCCTTAGGGGTGGAATTTATCAAAATCCTTTTTTAAGAGATACCTACGTCATAGTAGCTTTATGCATGCAAAGTCTCAGCCCGATCGGTTTAAAATTGACAAAGTTTCATATAAACTTTCATCCCCTATTTTATCCGTTTGGGGGTAGAATTAATCAAAATCCTTTCTTAGCGGACACCTACGTCATAACATCCACCTGCATGCCAAATTTCAGTCCGATCCGTCCAGTGGTTTGGGAAGTGCGTTGATAGATCACTATGTCACCTATGAGTCACAGTCACACAGTCATATATATATATAGTATATATATTTAGATAGGTAGTTGAGTAGACAAAATCAAATTGCAAATTAAAATTAAATAATAATATATTAATGTAAGACAATTTAGTCATATATACAAGTCAAGTTTCTTGTTCGTGTTCTTTGTTTCCCTGCCGTCCAGATCAGTTCAGCTCATGTTAGTGCTCCGAAATATGTAAAGAGAGTCAGCGTTGAATGGGTAGTCTTTAATTTGTGGTATAAAATGATTAAGACATTTCCAACCCAAATATCGTAGTCTAGTGATGTATTACTAAAAGGGACTCCTAGGAAGTCCAGGTCTTGTATTTTTTATTATGATAAAAAAGAATATCATGGTGCATAAGTTACTGACAAAAAATATCAATATCAAGGAATATTCTATTTTTTTTTAATTATACGTAACAATTTGTAGATTAGATATAATACATGGCACTTTGTCAAGCTTTCAGATGATTATTATAAGTCGAAATGTTTAGATGCGTCATTATTTTTTATTACAATGAAAATAATAGTTTTTTGTTAGTCAAATATTTCAGTTGAACCGTTCGATGCCTCATAGATTAACCTAGTATTCTAATGTTTACTAAGTTTCGTAATTCCACGTGGGCGCTTGCGCGATTATGTATGCCGCATTAGTGGGGCTCGGCCGTAAAACGTCGCAAGTGGTGAGCGACGGCGCCGCGCCACCGACATGTGGCGGCTACGCGCGTCGGCTGACCAGCGGCCGTCGGCCCTCGCCCGCCGCCACCTCAGTGATCGTTAGCAGGCCGCGCGACTGGCCGCACCACCGCCCGCCCCACCACCAACACCACGCGCTCCTCGAATAACGACGTCCACAACACTGCCGACTGACGCGCTGCTCACCGGACCCCATTCCTACTTTACGTACGTGAAACATGTGACAACATGCCTCCAGTGAATATCTCGAGCGAGGATTCCAGCGCGTTCACCGTAATCAATCACGATGACAATAAGCAGCGAGACGAGGAGACAGTAAATGAAAAGAAAGCCAACGACTATGTACTGCCTCGAAACGTGAACGTGGTGAAACCGCTGCAGCACGGCGATGACGTGCCCGCCACCGACAACATGGATCATCCCGCCGGACTGCAATCCATTTTAGACCCGAAATTTTCCCGAGCGCTCGACTTTAAACTTCGTAGACTAAAAGAAAAAGAAATTTTACAGGCCAATCTACGTAGACCCACTCGATATCGGCCTCGCAATGGATTAATAGCTGCCTCAAATCCAAACATTAGTTCAAAAGAGATGACTTCCCCTGGAAAAAGCATCAGCCAATCTAACCCGAGAATAGATATAATTGCACTCGACGACGACTACAAGCAAAAGATCTCGCCCAAAATGGATAAGTCTCCATCACCTGGACGCAAAAGTCGCATCCGCAAAGTATCGGGGTCCAACGAGGGAGAAAAACCACGGTTCATAACGACGGTGAAGACTGGGCAGTTCCTCCTGCCACCGCCTGAAGTAGCTTCGCTTCTTGGGCTGGAGACATTGTACCCGCAACAAGACAGGGAAAAAATTGTATACTCATATGCTAGCAAACCTAAACCAGTCACCACTAGATCGAAACGATCTTTGCCGGAAAAAAAAGAAAATATTCCCAATGGAGAATCAGCCACCGGGAGCATGGCCAAGCGACCCAACGCCAGCGACGTGTTCAGCGGAGTGCGGGCGCTTGTAGCCGGCGTAGTGGGCATGAAGCATCTCCTCGACAAAAGCGATAAGTATGTTCATAAATCTCGTCAATGGACCATTGCATTAATCAAGAGAAATTCATTATCACATCATCTCAATATCGATTCTAACTGTCACTATCAGGCAATATCGTCACAGATTGTCTATATTATCACCATGACAGTATTTTATCTCGATTCATTGACTCGATTAGCGATATAGGTAAAGTCTTTATGATCTTCCATGTCAATTAAGAATGTTATTATTAAATTTTAACACATATTAGCCACAACTTCATTTGCATGCCCATATATCTGACAGCGACTACAAAGTAGTACATTCTTCGAAGGATATAAGAAACATTTTATGGCAACCTGAAGGCGAGAGTTTTAAATGATAAGTATGGAGAATCATTGAAGCACAATGACTGTGATGTCAGGAGCTCTGTTTTTTTAATTAGGCTTTAAAGAGAGCTTTGGTTTAGAGGATTTATGATTATGATTATGATTTGTTTAAGGAGCAGTGTCCAGTATTATCCTTTGCATTACTTTAAGATTTTAATCGTAGTTTATATACTTTGGTTGATAGCGCTTAGAGAGACTTACTACGTAGAGTCTGTTGTTGACCTCGGTCGTCTCTATCATGTCTACTGACGGTACCCGCGATTTCGTGCGCGTGTAAATTTACTGATTTCATCTATTTATGATAATTAAACGACAAGAATTAAAGTACAAATTAAAGCATAAATAAATAAAATTTACGAAATGCATATGCATTACATGAAAAAAAATTTAAAAGAATTGACCGTCTGTATGTCTGTTCTTGCTAAAACAACTGGACTCATAATTTCGACGAATGGATCATTTTTATAGGACTTTCTCTCACAAATAGCTAATGTTGTATGCAATAACTATTAATAGGAATACTATTCTATTTTTATTTTTAAAATATTTACTTTAATTAACGTTTTTACGTATGTGAAACATTTAACGGGCAAACAAAGAGCAAGCGCCTCGTCATTGTTTTTATAATATGTAAAAATAAGGAAAATCTAGGTTGATTAGATATCTAATATCTGTTAGGAGATATATTCTCAATTGTGAGAAATGTAAGGATAATAATAGTTACGTGCTGTCACGTTAGGTGGACACATACATCGAAACGAAAAAATTACTCGTCAATTTTTTTTTCCTCGCGTTCACTCTCCATACCCTCTTGTTCCTCCATCCCCTAACAACGGACGTCATATTTTTCCCCACATATTTTTCATCATTTTGAGATCATTTTTTGTGAAAGGTTCTTTTTTATATATAATATGGTGTTTGATATATGAGATAGATATACAACTAAATTTCATTCCACACATGTCAATGCCTGCCACTACCAGTTCATATCCTATTCTAGGCACTAAGTTTTGCAGCTTCGTCGTCAGATGAAATTCATATTTCAGTTCAGAGACATGTTATGAGAATTGTCGATGATCCCAATCTCTCAAACGGTATCGAGCCACTTAGTTTGAGGCGAGACTTCGCATCACTTTGTGTGTTCTACCGTATGTACAACGGACTGTTTTCTGATGAATTATTTGACATGATGTCTACGGCTACCTTTTACCATCGCACCGCTTGCCATTGACAGGAAATTCATCCCCACACGCTGGAACCTAAGTGGTCTCGGACAGTGCGGTTTCAGAGGAGCTTCCTCCCGCGTACACTTAGGTTGTGGAATGAACTACGTGTCGAGGTTTTCTCGAGAGACTACAGCATGGGGTTTTTCAAGAAGAGTATATTAAGGTTTTTTAAGGGTCGGCAACGCACATGTGACACCCCTGGTGTTTTAGGCGTCCATAGGCTGCGGTAACTGTTTACCATCAGATTCGACTCTTATTATTTCCCACCTTTTTTTGTAGTCCGATAAATATATTTTTGTAGTAATAACTAACATTCATAAAATTCATAGCGCTGATAATATTATCTGATTGCACTAAGAATGAGTGCGTAGGTTTCTGTGTTGATTATCGCATGCCTCTTACTCAAAAGAGCTACATACAAGTTTGTTGCTGATTCTTCTTGTGATGAGTCTGCGTTTCGAATGAGTGGTAGTATAAAAAATATGACTATTCAGAAGTGCTTGTATTGAGTTCATTTGAATAAAGATTATTTCTATTTCTATTTCTATAGATATGTAACGTGTAGGAGTGGTATTGAACAAGTATCTAGGTACTAATTTTGGTGATGGAAATGAACTCTAGAGAACGGACAGGTGTACCGCTGGTGGGTACAGCAGGTGACACAGTCGAATTCATAATATCGGGGTCAGGCTGTGACCAACAATTTGTGGGTCCGGTGTCCCATTTCCCACCACCGCGGCGGCCGTCGCCACCCCACGGTCGCCCCCCGTCTCCCCACCGCCCTTTGAAAGCAACCAATTTACTTACATCCTTCATTTTCTTATCTCTCGACACAATTAATCAGTCAATTGATTTTTTGAACGTCAAACTGTCAGTTATTCTGTCCGTCTTTACTGTTTTATTTTCTACAGCTTTTACCCGTTTGAATGCAATAAAAAATATAGTACTTTTTTAATAAAAAGTATCCTATGTTCATTCTAATACCTTCAAGAACATGTGTACAAAATTTCATGATGATCGGTTCAGTAGTTTTTGCGTGAAAGTGAAACAAACATCGCTACCTTCACATCTATACATCTTTACATATAAATAAAATTGGAGTGTCTGTTTGTAATATTGCAATAACGGGTTTTTACTGCATGCATATGAATATAAATACTATACATACACCAAAATATATTTTTTACCATTTTTATCTGTCTGTCTGTCTGTTTGTTCCGGCTAATTTCTGAAATGGCTGGACCGATTTTAACAGGACTTTTTTTGGCAAGTAATAAGGAGTAATTTTTCTAACTTTTTTTTAAGTAAAAGTAACCTAAATCTTATTTTTAAAAAAAATTGAAAAATAACTTTATTTTTCAAATTTTTTTGTGTGTTGAATATTTTATTACATGTTGTGAGTCCTTGTCGCTTATTTGTCTACTACTACTGCGCTGTTTTCTATTCATTATTTATAAATATGTCAAGGAAGTCTATAACAGTCGTCTAAACTGATGTTATGACGAGGAAAGATTTGATTTTATACGTACAAAATGATTGATATTGAAACAAACCTGTTAACCATAGAACATCGCGGTTTTAACCGCGTGAAAATTGGCTAATTCTGATGTATAAGCGGTAATGTTTGATAAAAATGCGTCTGTAGTTTTTGTGTGGAATGGTTTTTTTTCCATTTCATTCATTTTCACAAAAAAAATAAAATAAAAGGTAAATGGAGAAAAGAATAAATAAACAATAATAAAAAAATACCCACAGTGATGCTTACGGGGCATATTTATCTATGTTATATAGAGAAAAAATCCATTAATTGAAAATTAAATAATAAATATCGGTCAATAGAAATAAAACTGACAATCTTTGTTTTATTTTTATTCACCGATTTTTTTTTTTAATTTTAACATTTTTTTTAAATAATTTATAAGATGGTAGTTAAATGTGTTGTATTGTGATTACCCGTGGTGTTGTTTGCTTGCAGCGGCGGCGTTGCGTCGACGGCGCCCTACTCCAACATGATGCACGACAAGCGCGTGGTGCGCGGCAGCACGTTCGCAGCGCACCCGCTCGCAGCGGTCAGTAATAGATATTATGTTATCTGTGGTAATAGACACAGTCTGTAGTAGATATAATCTGACAAAATATATTAACACGTTGACGGACAATTGCGGCTATAGCCGTCAAAGCGAAGTTCACAATGTGGCATGACTGCTATAGCCGTCCAGAACGAACGGTCGTTTTTAGACACTACGGCTATAGCAGCACAAATGTGCACTTACTGGCGTATACGTAGAAGCATAGTGTCGTGTTTTGAAAACATCTTTTTAGGTTGAAGTTCATATTTCACCTGTTATACGAGTTGCAGATTCATTATGCACGTGGTTGTGAAGGGAGTAGTGCGATCGTGTTTTCTATTGAATTTATAGTTCTTATTGATACGTTTAACGATATTTATTATTATTTATATAACTATACTGGTATGTATTTGTTTATTATTCATTTTATACTTTAAACAGAAATAAAAAAACAAAATTTATTTTTAGAAATATAAATAAATAATGATAATGTAAATGATAAATATATATTATATATATAATATAATATATAATATATAAGTTTATTTAAGCAGAAAGAGTAAAACTATACTTCTAACATTCTAAAAATCACAAAAACATATGGGTCATTGTCAAATTTTGCGCAGGTAAACTAGTCCCTCGACCCTTTTTATTTATTAATTGTTAATAATGTCACAACCTCTAACAAAATTTACATCAAACTCAATATATATCGCATTAACAAACATCCATTACAAAATAAAAACATGGGTCATATTTTTTATAAGTTTTTTTAAAGTAACACATTGGTCATTTCTGGTAACAGAATGGTTTTTCTTCGAAACTCTACCTGTTCCGATAGTAAAAATCAATATAACTTTATTTTCTGCTATATCAATCTATATAATTAAATATTTTAGCATAAATTGAGTATTTCGAATATTCATAAAATATATTTAAAAATTGGTTAGTATAAAAATGTAATTTATAAAAAAAATCCTAATCTTTGTCCCACGTATTGCATGGAACTATCTGTACACCTATGTTATTAAGTAAATCATCATTCAAAGTAGAGATGGCGTTGCTTTCAACTATCTATTAGCTTGGGCAGAGTGTCGGTATCTATTGTGGTTCTTCTCTAGATCGGGGGAGGGTACATCACTTCTCAGTGGACCGCGAAGTGTTAAACATGCTGCGTGTTTTTATTGTGCATCCACTGTGTTACGTACACCTATTCTCGTAAGTAAATCTTTATTTTTAATATTATACGTTTGGTATGTAGCCTAAGAAATAAATATTCTGAACGTGAAAGATATTTGATACATTACGCTTTATTTTATGACATATGTCTTACGGAATATAAAATTTACTACTCTGTTACTATACAACTCTGTTACTAGCGCGTGCTAACAGAGTTGTTAAGTAACAGAGTTGAAAAATCCCATATTATTTCAACTTTGCTGAAATGTTATACTTTAAATTACATTTTTTTGAATAATCAATTTTCTGAAATAATGTGTAAATGTACTAACATACAAATAAAGTGTATCAACTATAATAATCCAAAAACATTGTTACAGGATACTGTGTCTGTTTGCACTTTTAATATGCCTCTCACGCCTGTTGAAAAGCAGCGACGATACCGGGAACGGCGTAAAAATAATCCCGAAAAGGAAGCAGAATCTAAAAGAAAGGACTTAGAGAGGTACCATGCAAACAAACGTTTAGTACGAGATTTAACAACACGTGAACATCGAGCAATAAAAAAGAAATGGCGATCTGCAAATGCTAAACGGAGAGATAAGGCTAGAGCTCACATTGTTAGTATGCACACACCAGAGTCATCACCCTCTCGTTTAAATAGTCCAGTCCCTTCAGTACTAGACCTAGTTATTTCAAGAGCTTATCAGAATTTGTCTACACTCCAGCTGTCTACTTCCCGTGAAAACAATCCTAGCTTTTTCCGCGGTTGTTCGCGGCAGAAAACAAGTAAAGAAAAACAGGTCGATTATTTAGAGATAACATGAAATTGAAGGATCAATTAGAGGCAGCAAATAAGAGATACGAAAAATATAAAAAACGATACAATAGAGAAAAACAAAAGAAATCTAAAAATGAAGATAGCAATAGAGAAAATCAACAGAAATATAATATATTATCAAATGCTATTAGAAAACGGTATGAAAACGTCAAAAATCGAAAGGAAAAATATGCTATCCAAAAAATATTTGAAGAGAAGACTATTAAATATTCTAGGCAGAAGATACAAATCCTACAAGAATGTCTTGCTGTCGACCAAGGATACATACGAAAAAAACAGCCTCTCTTTAAGAAAACCATTTTAAGTACCAAAATCAAGAATTTTTTCGATCGTGACGACGTATCAAGAGCGACAGCCGGAAAAAAAGGGAATGGTATCTAAAAAAAAAGACAAAATGCAGAAGCGCTACTTACTCGACAATATGAAAAACCTTTATGTAGCTTTTAAACAAGAAAACCCTAATTTGAGATGTAGTTATAAAACTTTTACACGATACAGACCATTTTATGTTGTGTTTCCTGCTGTTACTGCAAGAGAAACATGTTTGTGTCGAATACACACTAATATTCAATACATAGCATTTGCTTTGTATAAAAATAAAGTTATTCCAACCTCAGATCTTAATAAGATTATTGTAAATCAAGTATGCAATCCAGATTCACCAGCATGTATGACCGGAATCTGTTTTGAATGTCAATCAAATGCCACTGTTTTTGATACAAAAAGACGAAATTATAGTAAAATATCCTCAATGGTTAAGTAAAATTCAAGTTATAGAGAAGTCAGGAAAGAAAATCAAAGTAACAAAAGACATTAAAGAAGAAATAAAGAGTACAGGAAAGGATTTGATAAATAAGTTTGAAATTACACTTAAATTGAATTCAATTCATTTAATTATTATTAATAACAAAGTTTATTATTTATGTTGTGTAAGATCTTAAACTACGTGCAATTTCTCTATATTAGGTACAAAAAAGAACAACTATGTTAATGTGTTACAACTCTGTTACTTTCTTGTCCCAAACATTAAAGAACTAATCAAAGATTTTTAGGAAAATCTAGTTAATGTAATATATCAATATCACAAAACGGTAATGTATCAGATACGTATACGCTAATGTGCTACAGTTATCTCTTAATGTATGTATATTTGGAGGATTTAGGTAGAATTTAAGGTCTATCAATATTTAAGAAGTAACAGAATTGTTTAAGAGTTTAAATTTATGATTGTTAAACAAAAAAATGTTTTGATTCTAAATGTGATTATAAGGTATAAGACTGTAATTAATATTAATGCCAAAATATTTGCGACTGATTTATTAAATTATACAATAAAACGTAAAGCATACTGATAACAGAGTTGTATTTATTTACACCCTGACCAGCGAAATCTGGAATAAATCTTAAATTTTTAATTAAACATCGCGGACGACGATTATATAACGTAATTCAATTGTTTTAACAGGCACGGACAATACTAAAAGCAAAGTTAAAATACATTTATTTTTTTATATTTTTGTAATTTTGAGTTACACCTGCGCAAAATTTGACAATGACCCATATATATTCGCTTGTTCCTACTGTCCGTCAACGTGTTAAGTTGATTTGATAAACAATTGAGTTATATTCAATATACATACAATAATGTATGTAAATATAGTAACACACACACATATACGAACTCTGAATTGAGCTCGAGATTTTCCATATTTATTGTTGTTATCATTAAATATTGAGACATCTAAATCCGTGAAGTCATAAAGTCGTCCCGTACAATTACAATTCAATTCAAAATTTAAATGCTGCTCCTTTTGTCAAACGGTTAACTAATTACCTATAGAATTACGTAGCGCATAATATACGAGTCACCGGCTCGTACTATTTGTTCGAATTGTAGCCATTAACCTAGATTGTAAAATAGAATTATGTTACGGTAATATTGATTTGAAAGACCAGCTCCGTTGTGCAGCGGTGGGCAACAAATCGGTGCGTAAATGAGGGCCCGGTGTACTCGGCAGAGACCAAGGTTGCTGAAAGAACTTCGCTTAACAGCCGCAGGGCGTCGGCCTGCTCGTTCCGTTTTCATATGCACGTTATCCAATTTGTCACAATATACCTAATATAATTTAGTAATTAATTGACTGTCCACTAATTCCATAGCCCCAAACAAGGTATATCTGATGAAAATTATAAATAATGTATCAAGTGAATTGTTCAGGAATAAATAACCTTAAACTTTTCAGATATGTATGCCTACCTTCATTGTGCATGTGCACTAAGTAAAGGTTATGTCATTGTTGACGTTAATTCTTAATGTACTACTCACTAGGTCTTCACAAATTGTAAGATAGCGCTGACATATAACAGACTGTATGTTTGGTTCCATTAGGTTGAAATTCAAAACCGTTACAATTTACAGTCAATTGTTATTCGCGTAGATACCGTAATTATCCAATTTTGCATGAACTAACAAAGAAACAAGACCGTTTTACATTTTCCTAGGCTACTCGATCAATTTTTTTAATGGAACTTCAATTACTATGATAGAATAATGTACTATTGTTAGAATACGCATTCGTCGTTTGTTCACTGAAAAATGTTGTCATACCTATGATCATACAAAAATTTGGAAATGGAATGAAAAATGAAAATATAGTAGTTAAAACTAAGGTTTTTTAGTTGAAGAAGTTTTGGCCTGTAGTTACTTAAGAATATAAAAATATATTTTTTATTTCGCAATATTTTCGGGAGTTCTGCGTACCTACCTCCAACCGTTAGAAACCCTTTGTTCTGTTCTGTAAAATCCAGAAACACCTTAAGACGCGTGTTGCACGAATTCGGTGACAATCGGGGATTTGTACGACGACAGACACGCAAGCTGACAATGTTACCCCTATGGGTAATTACAAAAATAAATATTCTAACTTGACGTTTACAGGAGTCTATAAAATATAGCCCACACGTAACTCCACACGTAACTGTAATATTTGTATTGTTTCCATTATACATTTAAGACCCTTTGTTTAATACACTGCTTCACCTTTGGATGGATTTTCCGACGGACACGGATCTGAAACTTTCTCTTTTACAGGTTTTATACTTTTTTATTTTCAACTACTCTATTGCTGTCAAATGCAGCTGACCTTTGTAATTTCACCGGACGATAGGGGGTGAGTGCAGATGGCACTTCAAACTTGCGGAAGGACTTATGGAGCGGCTGAAGGCCAACTTCTGCTTGACGGAGACGACTTTAGTCTGAACGCACCGCTAGGCGTTCGAATCTCAGCTCAGGTCGTCGTACATTCGATACTCGGTTGAATTGGACATGGGATTATTCAGAGCGGCCGTGGGCGCGAATGCGGAGCTCTCAGACACGTGCAAGCGCCAGGTCAATTGCACTCGATGATGTGATTGAGATTGTCATCTACGCGGGTGAGAACGATGTCATGTGTAGTAAAGTGATAGTCCGCCATTTTAATTTGTTAATTAATTAAATGCTGTAACAAAGCTCAATACCACGCACGACTGAAGGACGCAAGAAAGCACGACCTTGCGGCGCGTGCTGCCTTTCTCTTCTCTTTGTGTAAAGGCAGTTAATGACTAAGGTGCATGGTGTGCAGGGCGACGGCGGTGAGAGTGCGGCGGCGCGGGCGGCGCGCACTCGTCGCCGGGCGCTGGCGCGGCGCGCGGCGGCGGCGCGGCTGCGGGCCGGCTCCCCGCCCCCCGCGCCCGGCCGCAGGCACCACCCCGTGCAGACCGAACACTACCTCGAGGAGGTGACCACCACACACCACCACTACTGACACTGACACACCAGTGGCGGAAGTCCGGACCGGCGGCCCCCACTTGCACTGCTTCTGCCCAACATGGGGGAACACACCGGAATACAATAGACCCCCCAGTGAAGACACATTTCTGGTCTTTTTGGGTGAATGGCAGACTATAACGGCTTACTACTCCTTCAAGATTAGTAGCGATTTGTTGAGCCTACTACAGTATTGGTGTTAATGTATTTATAGGACCTGCGCTAACGGTTTACGCTGGCGGGGCGATAGTGGAAGATGATGGGATGAGTATGGGGTCAAGTAAATTAGCCCATCATGAGCAATTCACCAGTAACACAAATCACTCCGTTATACTTCATTTTCCTGGTCGCCTCTTAGGGCAATTTTATTACAGCGTAGAGTCATGCGATCATCTCATTATCGTTAGTGATTACTACCTATAAATGCTACACCAGAAGAATTACAAGTATGCCGCCGGCCTTTTATGAAATGTAATCTTACAATTTCAATATTGGTTTGGTACAGAAGTAGTCCTATCTATGATTATGTGTAGGAAATAAAATCTTAAAAATCCACAATATTTTGGATCGCTATTCGTACATCAGGTTAGTTCACGACGCATTACGTACGACAATGGCATTAAGCCGTGTTTATCAATACGTGTAACTCCTCAGAACACACCCACCTATGCAATAGAAGACGCATAGTCTGCTGTTTAAAAGAAAATATTTTTTATATATACAGCTATTCGACAAAGGCGTGGAGATGGAGGTGGGCGTCCAGACAGACCTCTTCGTGGACCGGCCCGCTACTCCCATATACGTCCCGGCCAAGACGGGCGCCGACGCCTTCACTCAAATCTACCCCGGTGATGTGAGTGTCAAATTTGTTGTAATAAATTAAAAAAACACATTTGTAATTAATATTAATATAGAAAAGACAAACTCATTAGTATAAATAAATAATAATCTAGAGTTGCTAGTGATACTATTTAGAAAGAATATTTTTTATGTTCTGCAGCTGTTCGACTTCGACTTGGAGGTGCAGCCAATTCTGGAGGTGTTAGTGGGAAAGACGACGGAGCAGGCGCTGGCGGAGGTGGCGCAGGAGGAGGAGCTGGCGACGCTGCGCGAGCACCAGCGCCGCTACCGAGACCTGCGCGACGCACACCTCGCCGAGCGGCAGCGGCTCGCCGCGCAACACGCGCGCCTCCACCGAGAGAAGGTGACGGGACGTGACAGGACATGACGAGACATCCGTGATATATAATCATGCGTTGCTGTTTCTGAGACTAAGATTTGATGCCTCTTATCCATGAACTTCACTATCCTCACCTGCAGTACACTATACAAAGTCAACAGCTTAAATAGTTGGTGCTGAGAGGAAAGGGAATTGTTAGTAATGTGAACTGTTGACCCTATTGCTAGCAATTTATCATGTCAGGTTGACCTCCATGTGGTTCTCCCTGGAAACCAACGTGAAAAATTCTTGGTGAATTAGTCACCATGGGCTAACTGACGTAACCTCATGTTCATCTTGTCATCCTCCACTGGTGCCCCGCCAGGGTAAATCGTTAGCGCAGCCGGGGGCACCATTCTATTATCATCATCTCATCTACACAGTCTGGATTTACAAAGCGTAGCCAAGTGAGTCTGTGGTGTCGTCGACTGACGTGGTGGTGTGTGTGGTGTCAGGAGCGGCGCGTGTGGGAGGCGCGCGGGGCGCGGGCGGCGGCGGAGGAGGCGCGGGAGCGGGCGGCGGGCGCGGTGGTGGTGCGCGGCCACGTGGCCGAGCTGCTGCCCGCCGTGCTGGCCGGCCTGCGCGCGCAGGGCTACCTCCACGACGCGCTGCAGACGGGTACCAACCACTTTGTACTTCGTTTATTGGCCCCGCTACGGGTGCTCTAACAAGTACCCTCATGGCATCATTACGTTATATCTCTTTCATAATGTCGTTTACGTAGTCTTTCGTAGTTTACGTTCGCGTACTTATTTATAATGAGTAACTCCCGGTATGAGTATATTATCTAAAATTATATACAAATAAAAAAAATGTTTTATTAATTTCAAATAAACAGCTTTTCACAAAATACATACAAAAGTATATAAAGTATTTATATCAGACCATTTAATGAGTAAATGCATATAAATATATACGAGAATTATATGATAAAAAAATTTTTTTTTGACTAGCCATCTTATTTTTTATTTCTTCTTGCTAATTTTGAAACGTCTAAATTGACTTTAACGTGATTTTCACTCGCATATAGACAAAATTATGTATAAAAAATAATTTAAACTGCTCCTACTTTAGACATTACAAAATGTGTATATTTAAAATTAAACACAGACCATGTCGCGGGTTAAACCTAGCTAATAATATAATTAACATATATTTAATATGTCACCAAAACAAATTAGTTACTTTTGAATGTACTTGAATGAACTATAACTAGTCTTCCATTTGCATGTAAATGCTTATTCTATTGCAGGCGTGGAGGAGGAGTTCATGCCGTGGCTGGTGGACCAGGTGTCGGAAGAGCTGGAGTCCATTATTACCAGTCGAGACCTCATTACAGGTACGATGACAGGAGCGGTGGTGAGAGTAAACACACAGTAGGGTGGGAACTTGTGGATTCTTGAATTACTCTACCTTAGACTAGTTATATTAAACAAAGTTTTTTAAATTAGATAAAGTTACTTATCCAACGTACACGGGCACAATATATTATACTACGTGCTGAAATGCATCACTATATCACACCTATACACACGATACTAGACCCTCTACTAAACAATACTCAACAATATTCTATGTCAATGAAAGTTCCTAGTTCTGGAGAATTAAATTGAGATGAAAATGTTTGAGATGAGATGCTAATTATGTACCTTATCTATCTACATATGTACATTACATATTCCCGTTAGGTACTATAAAATAATTCCAATTAAAACGAAAAAAAAAGTATTTGTAGATGCTTCTGAAAAGGCTTATTATGGGCGATAAAGGAAACCAGCGAGTTGTCGTGTTTATTTATTTATTTATTTAACTTTTTCATCTTCAATGCACAAAATACCAAGGTAAAAAAAAGTACATGTGGCGGACTTAACGGCTTACGGCATTTTGTAGCAGTCAACCACAGGCTGTGCAGAGAAACTGTAGGCGGTGCAAATGTAATCAATCAATAGGAAAAATAATAGCTATGTCATAAATAATATATATATACTACAAGAAATGTTTACATATACTTAACATATAAATCTGCATACACAAATACATACAATGTATATAAAACTATAAATAAATATGAATAAAATACATATATAAATCAAATATACCATATACATACCATATAACATAACATATTGTATATAGTAATATATTATACAAAAAACACTACTAACTAGGGCCACGAAGGGAAACCGAAAGGAACAATAGAAAGAAGTGACAATTTAGAATAGAATTTGGTATTCGAAATATAAAGCTTATAAAATAGATCATACACTAAAACAAATGGCCTGTATTCCACACTTATGCTACATATATTAGGTCAGTAGACAGCTCAGGTTCAGTCTTTGAAAGAAAAAAAAACGGTAATCAAAGTATGAATACATTAGACAGTGATACGGTAACAAATGTAATCGTCGTTGTGGTATCAATGACCTGTCGTGTGCGGACCGTGATGTGTTGTGTGTGCAGAGCTGGTGCGGGACGTGGTGGAGGCGCGCGGGGAGCTACTGCGTGACTCCACGTCCCCCGCGCCCCCCTCGCCCCCCTCGCCGCCCTCGTCGCCCTCGGCGCCCACGCCCGACGCAGAACTAGATGGTAACACCACTACATTTTTTTATTAATTACTTTATGAATTACGTACATTACTTTATAGTTAGTAATTAATAGGTAGTTAAATTCATATACAGCAGATAAATTATGGACCCTGTTGAGCAGAGCAAGAAGAAGAGAAGAGAGGAAGACGACTTCGTTGTCTTATAGTTATAAAATTGTATAAAAAATGCCTTTTTTCAGTATATATATAACATTATAAGTTCTACAATATAGAATGCACGTGAGATACCGCCGCCCCCTTCCCAGGTCCGAGGTCTATTTAACTTTATGTACAACATTACAAGAATGGCATTTTAAGGTTTTTTTTTAACTACTATAGTGGCAAACAAGCATACGACCAATCTGATGGTTTTTTAAGAGCCACGCGCAACGCGCACGTAACAATTCTGGTGATTCAGACGTCTATATGTTTACCATGAGATAGGCCGTATGCTTCGTTGATAATATCGTAGAACAAAAAAATATATTTAATTTTGAACTTACGTATTTCAAAAATTTCGTTCAAATTGTCATCTGCTATAGAACCATACCGTCGACCGCATAGATAATAATAATCTCTGGACAATTCACACAGCGCCATCTAGTTAAGCTAGCAAAAGCTAGTGTTATGGGTACTAGAACTACTAGATAACTGATACGTATACATAGATTTTTTTTTTCCAAATACATACATATTATACATAGAAAACACCCAGACCGATACAAACAATCATACTCATGAATACAACTGTTTGTGCCGTACGAGGAATCGAACCCGCGACCATCGGTCGTAAAGCGTTGTGCTAGACCACCGAGGTCGTCAATAGATAATTCTCGTATTTCTTTATTTGTAAATAACGCGATAGTTGGTACCTAATCTTATTGAATATTTATAATATCTTGAACAAATCCCACTCTGCATCTTCTGGGGAGTCCTCTCATTCGTCTCTCGATCTCTCATAACATGTAATTCTGTCAGTGGCACATGTCGCGGCGCCACCTGTTCCCGCCCGCACTATGCACTGCACCGTGCGCCGCGTGCAACACTGGCCCTAAATGTTTTCATTGTGGCATCAATTCGCGACACCTCGCCACGTGGTCGCGGGACGGCCGCCGCACGATTTGGCACGCACCCGATGAATGGTGTCATTACGCCACAATAATATTCACATTTATTTCCCGTTCGACGCAATAACGACCTTCTATCGATATACGTACGGTCGAAACTCCATATTATTACATTTATTAATAATACATTTTCCATAGTCGAGCAAATTTGCACTCTAGTGCAATAGCGATACGAGCGATAACCGCGGCGCACCGCAAACGGATTACACTAATATAAAGGGGGATCTAAATAATGCGCTCGAGTCGCGGTCGCGAACAATTAAGATTGATACGGTGTGATGACATTATAATATGGTTTTGATGCGGGGCGCGTTTGTATGCGTTAGTTAAGAGTTTTATTTTGTTATAACCAATAAGTATTTTAAACGTCGCGTCGGAGAGTACGCGCCGAGTTGAGAGGCCGCACGTGCGCGGTCTACAATAACATTAAACATTTCATATAACATACTGAACTGTTCAATGTGACACGAGTTGACAAGCAACTGAGTTTATATTATAAAATACATTGGGCAGTATGACGGTGCATACACAGTTTCCTTGATCCTTGATGTTCACATTACCGTGAGTTCTGTGTTGCACTTGAGAATCAAGTCTGGACAAATATCTCAAAATGCTATGTAGCGCAGATGTAGGAATTCAAATGGATCAACTTTTTTCGGTCTGTTCGGAAAGTAGTACAACTACGAAATCTATTTACTTTCACTGAAAGACAATCGTGTAAATTCGGGCAATCAAACTGTAGTTAGTCTCCACTAGGGTTAATTTCGTTACGTCAGTTAGTCCAGTGACTAATTCACCAAGAAAAGTCGAGTTCTCGAACCGAGAATTCCCGGGAAATTCATGGGTTTTGTTCCCGGGAAATCAAGCTCGAGAAAAGTCGAGAACTCGAGAAATCATGTACCTATATAGAAATTAAATTGCCCTTTGTTTTGTTGCATGGCGGCGCAATAATTTAAGATATTAACGTTTTTGTTTTCTTTCGTGTTATTTTTTTATGTTGTAGAAACTATTTTTGTTTACATTGTTTTTTTTTTATCTAAATAAGCAGCCAAAAATGGTGCTATCATTATAAATATAAGTCTGAATAATTAGGTCCTAAAAAATTGAAATTGGCGTTTTGTAAGGGAATAAAAGTAAAGTATTTTTTTTTTTCAAAATATATCAAAGTAAATAATATATAATATATATTTATTTAATCAAAGTATGTACCATTTCTATTTATGCACTTTTGCCTTTTGTTTTTGCACTTTGGACTGTCCCATTGGAATGTAATTGTTTCCCTTGCAAGAAGTTATCCAAATTTCGAAAAAAAATGGTAATCTGTTGGCAAGGTCCGGGAAGTACGGTGGTTGTCTTAGACATTCCAATTGAAGCTCTTTTAATTTGGTAACTGTCTGTTGTGCAGTATGTGGTTAAGCGTTCTTGGCGATTGACCAGCCTCGGTTGTTTAGCAGCTAGCTTTTCCATCATGGTTTCTCAATTGCTGACAATACACATTTGCCGTAATCGTCTGGCCAGATTTAAGAAAGCCGAAGTGAACAACACCGGAAATAGTCCACCAAACGTTCACAAGTAACATTTTTGAGCCATATTTCGCTTGGGGCAGGATTTGGTTGGTTCGTCGAAATTTCCAGAACGAAAACGTTGGAACCAAAAATGCACGTGTTTTCTTTTGCGAGACCACTGCCGTACACATCATTAATACTTCGAGCCGTTTAGCACCGTGTAGCACTGGTGCCACAGCGGAACTCGTACTCGTAAATAACGCGATATTTTAAGTTTTTTCATTTTGTATGCTGTGAGTGACTCAAAGTGAATAGCTGTATAAATTTGGAAATGGAATTCCTAACCAAAGAAGAGATATTTGAGATCAAAGTGACCAGTACGACAAAACGCCAATTTCATATGTAAGGTTAAATATTATTTCTCTATTTAAAAAAAAAATATTCATGTGTAATATTAATGTTTTTAAATATACTCAATAAAAGTTTAATTTGATACTTTTATTTGAGAGGAAAACCACTGAATTTTTTGACGTTATATAAATTTCTCGACAACCCGAGAAGACCCGAGAAATTGACCTCGAGAATTCTCGAGACCCGAGAAATTGAAAAGCTCGAGAAATCATGAACCCTAGTCTCCACGAATGACTTTCAACGGGAAGTTTATTTTTGTGTAAGAATGTTATAAAAAAGGCCACTTTATTGGAACTAAATAGCTTACAAAAACATTACATACACACAGCATTTTACATAGCACTCACAACAATGACAGTTGTTTCTATTTACACACTAACATATATTCTAACCAAGAACTTGGCCGTAAACTTAACTTTTTATATATAGAATCATATACGGATATCATGTAATCTTACAATTACGTTGTTGTAATGTATAAACCTATATAGTTAAACGTGTTGAATACCCAGTTTATTCCAGAACTACCTTTTGCTCGCGGCTTCGCTCGCGTTAATTCATCCCTTTAGGGGTGGAATTTATCAAAATCCTTTCTTAGCCTACGTCATAGTAGCTTTATGCAAGTTTCATACAAACTTTCACCCCCTATTTTATCCCCTTGAGGGTAAAATTAATCAAAATCCTTTCTTTGCGGATGCCTACGTCATAACATCTACCTGCACGCCAAATTTCAGCCCGATCCGTTCAGTGGTTTGGGCTGTGCGTTGATAGATGTCACTATATCAGTTACCTTTGAGTTATATATATATAGATATTCTATAATAACGTCACTTGTCGGCTCTCGTCGGTACTGTCAAAATAAGTAAAAGTTAAAAGTATTAATATTGACAGTGGGAGATGTAATTGAATGTACATGTGAACATATTGTTGGCGCGTGCGCGCCGCGTGCCGACTTACTGCCGACACCCCACTTTGAGCTCTATATTATAATTATTATAGCACAACTCTTGACTGCCACATAAATACAAATCCACGAAACACCTTACATAATCATAATAAGATTCTAGAAAAGTCTAGAAAATCGTAAACAGTTTGATATGGTTTTCTTATATAAATTGTTAAAGAGTCAAATTGATTCTCCTCTTCTGCTGTCATCCATAAATTTCAACGCACATATACGTAGACCTGCACGCCTCTCTCGACGCTCCAGCGATATGTTGGTACCACCACGATTTAAAAAGAACTATACCAGTAATTGATTTATCCCCCGTTCCATCAATACGTGTAACACGTGGTAACACTAAGTTTGTTGACTTGGATCCGTTCTGTTGCGTTACTTACATACAGAAAGGAACTATACGAAATACTAAAGTAACCCCTTTTTATTTTAATAATGTTTGTATTCTAATTTCTTTTCTTTTTGTTCTTAGTGTATTGCATTTTCTTTAAACTTGTATTTTTATTTTAGTATTTAGATCACTGTAAACTGTAAACATTTTCGGCACTCAATGGTTATTGCAAAAAATATGATTATTTATATAATGACTGTTTGTTGCCAAAATAAAGAGAGAGAAAAATAATCGCTAGCGATCCTTGATGTAAAATTATGAAATAGAGCTCTGTAGTGGCTCGTAGTCGCTGGTCGTAGCACCGTAGCACCTCGTCTACGACATGGGTATTCTATTACATAGCACACACTAACATAACTCGTGAAATCTATACATATAAATTAAATTGTATAAATAAAATAACCGTTTTTTACTACATGCATATGAATATAAATATGGTACATACACCAAAATAACATTTTTTACAATTTTTGTCTGTCTGTCTATTTGTTCCAGCTAATCTCTGAAATTGCTGGGCCGATTTTGACGGGACTTTTTTTGGCAGATAGCTGATGTAATAAGGAGTAACTTAAGCTGCTTTTATTTTAGAAAAAAATATTTATTTTAGAAAAATAAAATAAAATTTCACGCGGACGAAGTCGCGGGAACAGCTAGTCTTAAATAAAACAGCTGGGTACTACTGCCATGCATTACAGCGTATGTAATCAAATCAATTCAAAATATCTTTATTCATTTAGATCTATTATAGACTCTTATGATATGTCAAATCTACCGTCAGTTCGGAGAGCTTTCCATCTAGAGAGAACTGACCAGAAAGTCTCTAGTATAAAATGAAGTCGGGCCCGATGTCTGTTCGCGTATATCTTTTAAACTAGCGAACGGATTTTAATGCAGTTTTTAGCTATGGATAGCGTGATTCAAGAGGAAAGTTTATATGTATAATACATGTACACCCATGCGAAGACGAGGCGGGTAGCTGTGTAATATAAATTATTGACATCAGCTTTTTGCTTAAACTTTTCGCTTTTTGAGTAAATAGTTAATGTATTTATAAAGATCAATAAAAATAATGTGTTTGCATTAGTGACGTGGCACACGTGCGTCGATCGAGTGTGCGATAACAGTGGAAATGGTCGAAAGCAATTGCAGTAGCTAATGTACGGCGCGGACCCTGATGTTAACTCAATAGGATCCGATAAGAACGCGCCATATCTGATGCAACCAGATTTAAACTACAATTTCTCTAATCATACGAGGGTATTTTACACGTGGCTAGACACACACTATTTGTTAATTTGCAATAACAATAATAATAATCTCAGGACAATTCACACAGCGCCATCTAGTCCCAAGTTAAGCTGAGGCATAGATATTGTTTTTTTTCCATAAATACATACATATTATGTATAGAAAACACCCAGACCGATACAAACGATCATACTCATGAATATAAATGTTTGTGCCGTGCGAGGAATCGAACCAGTGACCATCGGAAGTAAGGCGGTGTGCTAAACCGCTAGATCACCGAGGCCGTCCATAGAAACCTGTACTATGGGTATTGCCGCTAAACTTTCCTTTATGTACATACCATTAGGTTGCTAATTGTAGATCTAACTGGCTGTTCCCGCGACTTCGTCTGCGTGGAGCTTAACTTTATTTTTCTAAAATACAAGTAGCCTTATTACATCAGCTACCTGCCAAAGGTCCTGTCAAAATCGGTCCAGCCATTTCAGAGATTAGCCGGAACAAACAGACATACAGACAAAAGTTGTAAAAAATGTTAATTTGGTGTATGTACCGTATTTATATTCATATGGATGTAGTAAACAACTATTATTTCAATATTACAAACAGACACTCCAATTTTATTTATATGTAGGTATATATGTAAGGGTTTCAATACATAGTCATTTTAATACCACATTGCGATTTTTTTATTTTTACTTAATTATTATTTTCGGTTGGATATATAAATATTTGTAGTGTCTAATTACTGCTAATGTAACCGGTAGCCGTACTCGGCAAATATAAATACATTTGTAGCGCTGTGTGTGCATTCAAAAAGAATGGAAAACAAAGATAACAACAAAGAACCTTAGAGACAACACCGCAAGGAACAATTTCCTCTATCATTACATGAGTCTGTATAAAATGTAATTGAATTCGTAAAATAACAATTTGCGATGTAGATAATGATTGTTATTGATTCTATGACTGTAAGCATAGCGTTCAAAATTGATTGTCGCGTTGCGCCAACGCATGTGTTTGTGCAGCTGCATCGCCCGCCGCGAGCTGTGGACCGATCGCTTTAAAAATATCGTACACCGCCTCCGTACAATATCTATTATGTAGTTCATAATGTAAAGCTTAAACGTTTGAAACACTTAATAAAATACAATGCACCGACCGAGTGGGGCGAGTTAATGCACTTGTATCTTTTACATTTACAAAGTTTCAAGTTTTGATCCACAAATACTAACTTGTCCTAATAGCACTTGTAATTGTGTAAAGATACCTACTTCAAAATTAGTAAAAATATCGCTTTACATATTTTTTAAGTGAGCTAGCTTTAAAAAAATCTACTTTGAAATGGATTGACAAAGTGAAAAATAAAATTACTTATATTTTATTATATTGTGCCTATCGGTCCCTATGTATGCTTAAATCTTTAAAACTACGCAACGGTTTTGAAGCGTTGTTTTTTAATAGATAGAGTGATTCACGAGGAAGGTTTATATATATAATACACATACACCCGTGCGAAGCCGAGGCGTGTAGCTAGTATTTTATAAAGTAGGACGAATATTTCTTTAACGAATTTCTTGTGATTTCGGTTTGTTTGGTGAAGACTGAAGATATACTGTCATGTTACGAGAGTCGACTCTGCTTACCGTACATTAATATCAATGTTAAAGAAATTATACAAAATATAAATCTATTCACAGTAATAATTGATTTGAAGCTACAGCCCATATTAACTGACTTCAAAATGTTAGTTTTCAATTTAGTCCTGTTTTTATATATTCACATCCACCACGATGAAAAACAAATCTATATATATTTTAATCCAATAACGGGTTTTACAGGCGTTAAGTACCTACCTAGTATTTTTTTATCATTTCGTAGTTCATCAAACGTGTCAATAATTATTCATCAATTAAGTACATCTTAAACCTTCCTTTTGCTTCACCTTAGTGCGGTTAATCTTTATATATAAAAAAACATATCACGTTAGGTTGTCCGCGATGGACTCCTAAACTACTGAACTGATTGCAAAATTTGATTTGCACATTGTGTGCAATTTGATCCAACTCGAAAAATAGGATAGCTTACAGCTCAGTTTATAGTCGCAATATTATTTTAGTCGGATCTCACCCACAGCGATGCGTGGCCGGGTCTGGTAGTTGGTATATAATAAATCAATTTTATAGCAAAATGTATCAAAACTTATCGCGTCATTCAACAGGAGAATTGTTTTTAATTTAAATCCGTAGCGACAACAAATTAGTATATCTCTAATGCAAACAGCGACCGGCCATACTATGTTCATTACGACGCTGGCGCTCTGGCTCGCCCGCCACTTGCCCCCGGGGTAGGGTTGCCATCCGTCCGTTTCCCCGGATTTTCCGGCATCCGGGGAGCGTCCGGGGTCATGTAATCTTTTTACGTTTAATATTAAAGTATATTAATAATTTGTGTTTTATTTTAAGAACAAAAAATTGAACTGATTATTAAAACAATTTGTAACAAACTGTAATAAGATTCTGTTTTGTTAGGTACATTTAAAATGATGATAAAAATATTACTACATTTAATTTTAAAGTCTGAAAATTAATAAAAATGTCATTTATGATATTTTTAACTGTTTTTATCACACTGACTACGTTTAAAAAAACCTGTTGACATGTCCGGGTTCTAGAGTCTAAAAGCCCGGGGTTTTCACGTTTCTGGTTTTGACATTTTAGAGCTGGCAACCCTACCCCGGGGGCTCGGGGTGGCCGTCGAGCGGATTATGTGTTTATAATGTTGAACAATACCACTGACCTTTTTATATTGGGATTATGTCAAACGTCTATTATACTTTACTTTAACAATTTCTTATTTGCAATTACTACGGTCCTAAGGGCGGGCGAGATTGTTGGTAGTGTGGACTCGTAGCCCGAGTGCGACAAATATATCGTTCTGGAAATTAAAAATGTCAAAATATTATACTTAGTACTAAATGTACCTAATATGAAACCCTAATTTCAACTTTCTTAATAATTCTCAGTACAATATACACAACTCTATCTACATCTCTGATACCAATACATTTTTTTTTCTAAATTATAGATAGAAAACGCTCAGACTGATACAAAAATCATACTCATAAATATAAATATTTGTGTCGTGCGAGGAATTGAACCCGCGACCATTAGAAGTAAGGCGGTATGCTAAACCGCCAGACCACCGAGGCCGTCAAATTTATTTTACCGATTTACTATTACTATAGAAGAACATATTACAATTGTTTACCAAAGAGATCCCTGGGTCATTACAATGAGGCACAGATCAAAAATGTTCAAATTTTTCTTAAAACAACAAGCTTTCTTATGAAAAAAGAAAACACAGTTCATGTGTTTTTGTTTTGTGTTCTGTGTTTTTCAGTAATGTATTTCTTATTGAATTGAAAAAGAAACAAAACTGGTTTCTTTTTGACTCCACGCTACTGAACTTCCCACCGTACATCATTCCAATACTATTTGTTCCATTCTTCTTTTCTATTACAGGTTTAGAAGAATAACAGCAAGTCAGTGTGAACAAGTCAGCGACTGGCGGACTTGAATGTGCGACCGCCGACTAACGGACAAACACTGTACTGGCGAATGTAATGTGCGGAAACTGTGCGGACAATACAGTTATACAATAGTTGATATGAGAGAGTGAGATGGAAATTTACAGTATTACATGTGTACTGAATATAGTTTGTTAACTAACTGCAAGTTAGGAGTAGTGTAACTGATATGTTATATTAAATTAATAAAACTATTAATATTATTATTATTATTAATTTGTATAGCTCATGATATTGTAATATAGGGTTGCCAACTTGTTTTGACAAAAGAAACGTCTAAACTAGTTTGGAGTATTTCTATAATTCTATGTTTTTATTGCTTTAAAAACGTATTTTTGTGTGCTTTTAACACTAGGGCTGTGACTAATGTTACAACTCACAACCGACATCTAACATTTCGTTCAGTAGATAATTATAAATCGTTAAGTATCCATAATGAGTATTTTGTTTTACGCATCGCAGTAAAGGTTGAAAATAAAGTATTTTTGCATACTTAATTTGTATGTAAAAATAAAGTAGGATACGTTATTATAAAGTATGGTTGGCAATCCTATTGTAAGTGTACGTTGATGATCGCTTTACGCAACGCAGCCGCCTGGTGTTCTGTCGCGGAACGACAGATACGATTTAACCAGGGATGTTAGGGAATTCCGTAACCGTAACTGAAACCGAAACTATCGGATATCCGATATAGAAAAATATTCGTAACCGTAACCGAATCCGACATGAAAGTTTCGGATAACATCGAATAGGGGCGGAGCCTAATTGAGACACATTATGTAACAATTTTATTAGCTATTTTAATTTTACTTTTGAAATTCCTTGAAAAATTAATATCCGTAACCGAAATTATCCGAAACTAACGGATGAACCGAAATAATTTCATATCCGCATCCGTATTCGTATCCGTATATAATAATCATTCCTACATCCGAAACCCATCCGTTTCCGAAATTTCATACCCGTAACGACCCTGGACTTTACTAAACTGTGTAGGTATTTGTGAAGTGACAAATATAGACCAACAGTGGCAGACGTAGGAAAAATATGGCAAAAAATTAGTCTAAATAATAATATGACTGGTTGTATGCATGCATATCATACATGGGATCAGATAAGACGATGATCCCAAGAACCAAGTGGCGCGTACACTATTATAGAATATCCGTCTGGACGGTCAATTTAAAATTTGTCGTAATGAAATTTATATAGAAACCACAAAATTATTTGTTGCTAAAAGCATCATACAAATCGGTCTAGTGTTATCGAAGATAGTACACTTGAATTAAACGGGGTGTTTAATTCAACTGTGCTATCTTTGATAACTCTAGATCAATTTTGGCAAATCGTATAGAATTAAAGCGGATATCGCATAAGAGACAAAATATAAGTCAATTTTAAAAGGTGGTATATAGACCACACCCCCAGATTGTAAATGGTAGTCCTCTGAATACATAAATCACGGACATTTATGTGATAACGACCTCATATCTCAGTAGAGATACAGAATTCATTTTAAATTGTCAGTGTTTTCAGTTAATGACAAACTTTAAAATGTACATATTTGTAACATAGTGTTTTGAAAATATAAAATACACAGTTTCAAAAAGTAATTTCATTACAATACAAAATGTAAGTAAATATTTTGTATTTAAAATGCCTGCCATTATTATAAAAATGTCATATCTCTGTACAGGTCCGGGAGTAAATACAGTGAGTAATGTAACATTATGTTGTCTGTGGTATTACTGAAGGTTCATGTTGATGTAGGTATACCTATATGACCACTATGTTGTGGTCGCTGTAGCATGGTGCGGGTGTTACTTATTTTACATTTAACCATTGCTACATTAAATACAGTTATTAATGATTTAATATATTACGAATGTGGTACAGCTGAAATACCGAATAATACACCACTTACGCTCTATTTTAATATTAATTAATATTATTTTATTATATACTAGCTGCTCGCCCTGACTTCGCATTGGTGTACATGTATTATATACATAAACCTTCCTCTTGAATCTATCTATTAACAAAAAACCGCATCAAATGCGTAGTTTTAAAGATTTAAGCATACATAGGGACGGACAGCAACAGATACTAAGTCATAATTTGTAAATAGCGGCAACTTTTAAAGATTTAATGATTCACCCGCACATACATACAGGGCGTACATGGTGTACACGCAACAGATACTAGCCACTCACAATACATACAGATACACACACCATGATCGGACATGGGGTCGGAATTATATTCTTACATTCATATTCGTCATATTATTTTTGATCCCTTTGTAGGGCGGTGGTGATCACCTCACCACTGTAGCGTTATATATTATGTGATGAGATGTCGCTACACAATATATTATGTACTTGTAAGTAGTGAGTAAACAGGTGAAATAATTGTAAATACAAATTCAAATTCAAAAATCATTTATTCATGTAGGACATTTTGGCCGCTTATGAACGTCAAGTTTTTACATTATAATTTTTTTTACCCTACCGTCCAGTTCGGTATATAGATCCAATTGAGAAGAACTGGTAAGAAACTCAATTGAATTAGTTTTTTTAAAGCCAGTTTATTTACAATGTATAGGTATTTATATATGTAGGTGTCTGTGTCTAACATTAAGTGAAAATCCCTTGCATGCACAACTATTGCCATGCACGCTCGTCATTCAAGTAATTGTTTAGTGAGTAATAGGCTTTGCTCAGTAAATATGATTTAACAAATGTTTTGAATTTATTTAAGAGTAATGTACTATTTATTGTACATTATTAAGTTTATTGGTAGTGTGCTACATGGCTTATTAGTAACGCGTAGTCGTACAGTCGACGCGGAGTCATAACGTAGACTGACTTAGTACTTAACTTAAATCTATGTTAGTAGAGACGTAAACTAATGGAAGGGTCTCAAGTGTTGACAGAAATATTACAAGTGTAGGCACACCTTTATAATCGCGCAAAAGAATCAACATACGAATCAATGTACAGTATGCAATTGTACATAAAATATTGTTAGAATTTGCTTACACTTGGTCGTATATTTCGGAAGTCAATTCAGACTGAAAGTCGACTTTTCTTTCAATCTTTGTTGTAAGTAGCCAGGTACCTACCTATCTGTAAATATAAATACATATATTTAACTAACCAAACCATTGCGTATATTTCTTCTACGATAAATTATGTAGAACTTCTTCTCGTAATATTTTTTTAAGGATAATGCTATAAACGTGATGTGATTCACAACAGAGATGTATATGGTCCAGATATAAACAATACAACATCGACCATATCGCGTACATTAGAGTGGCACATAGAGCGGTGGTAACAATAATTTAATCACCGGCCGATTTGCGGAGGGTGTCACGCAGATTTAAGAAGTGACAACAAGTGCGCGCGAACCCTCCACCCTCCGAGGGTGGTATATAACGCACGCCACCCTCCCGACACTCGACAGTCATATCCCAACTCGTGGCCGCTAGCGAGCTGGCCACCTGCAACGGTACTAGTGGTATACTAACTAGTGAAGACCAGGGTCGGTCCGTTGGAGCTGGAGATGTTGTGTGCGCGGGCGCCGGTTGCTGCGCGCGGTCGTCTGGAGCGCGGCGCGACCTCGAGCTCGTTCTCGGCTGCAGACCTGGTGCAGTCGCTGCACACCAGCCTCGAAGACGTTGTGAGTTATTGACTGTTATACTACATATAGAACGACCGGACGACCGAGCTTCACTCGCCGCAGCGTTTTTGTTGTTTTCGGGTCCCGCCGACTCCTTTAATGGTATTGAAAGGGGGAAAGGCGATTGTTAATGTGGACTAATGATCTTCTTGCTAGCAATGTACCATGTCAGGTTGACCTCCACTCGGTTCCCTCTGGAAACCATCGTGATAAATTCTTAGTGAATTTGTCACGATGTGCTAACAAACCTGTCCTCATGCTCATCTTATCATTCTCCACTGGTGCCCCGCCAGCGTAAACCGTTAGCGCAAGCAATGCATGGGTGCACCATTTCATTATCTAAAATAAAAAAAAAATAGTATCGAATGGTGAGGAACCAGAGGATGGTGATGGGATGAGAATGAAATGAAGTTAGACCATCGAGGCAAATTCACTAGGAATCAACCACGATGGTAAAGGTCAACCCGACACGACATTTTTAACAATAGGCTTATATGTATAGACTTCAGAATAAAAATAAAAATTTCAGGGTGCTTTACCCCTCAGGCATGGCAACTAATGAGGGGAAGGTTAAAACGAGACTAATCGTCCATGTTGTTTTTTTGATAAAGAAAGAAAGAAAAGAAAGAAATATATATTTATTTGGCGCATACGAAACATTCATACAAAATACTACAAAAATTATAACGATAACGATTTCCTTCCGTCAAGTGGTCCATTAGCTTGTTTCCCATAATAGAAAATGTTAAAAAAAAAAAGTAAGATTTCCATTCAAAATGTTGTTTTAATCTACTTAAAATTCTTTATAATTGTAATGTTTTCTCAATATTTTTGTACAACATTTATACTGTCTTCAATTGTTCATGGAAATGAGCTAAATAGAAATCCTATTTTAAGTAAAATCGACTTTTTCAGTTAGAAAAAAACAGAGTTGTTTAAAGAAAATCTGATAAGTGTGAAACGTAGATATCAATCGCCTGATCCTATGGTCAAAATTTCATAGTTTTTATGATTTTTATGAATTATTGTAGAAAATTGTATTCTATCATAGTAGCACGTTTAGAACGGTGAGGTGTAAGGGATATGCAGCTTTAAGCCTATTTTTAAGACCATCTTTGCAACAGTCGATAAGAACTAATGGAGCAATTGTCGTTACATATCAGATACACAGAAGAATAAGATTTCGAACGGAACTGCTGAGTTGCATACTTTATTGACCGCCTCGGTAGTCTGACGATTCCTCGCATAGTACAAATATTTGTATTCGTATGATTGTATCGGTCTGGGTGTTTTCAATGTATATTACGTATCTATTTACAAAATTTATATGGTTATTTGTTGTGTGTGCATCAGATATACCTGGAGATGGACGGGTGCGGGCGGGTGCGGTGTGCGGGTGGCGGGGGAGCGGCGCGGGCGGCGGCTCACGCCAGGCTCGCGCCACACGTGCACGCGCGCGGCGCGGAGCTGGCCGTGACCGGGGCGGGGGCGGGGGCGGGGGCGGGGGAGGGGGAGGGGCAGGGGCAGGGCGACGCCGCGGGAGGAGGCCCGCGGCTGCGGCTGCGGCTGCTGTCCGAGCTGCAGCCGCGTCAGGAGCTGCTGCTGTGGTTCGACGACCAGCTGCTGGCGCTCGCCGGCCTGCCGTTCCTCACGCTCGCCAACATACGAGGTACGTGCCGGGACCTACACCCGTTACAAGGACCACCTTCTACTGACACTACACTACTCTCCGTCCCAGAATCATATTCGTGTCTTTTTACGTTGACAACTAAAAGGGATATATTATTTATAAGAGCAAGATATTGTACTGTGAGTAGAGGTTAGAGGTTTTTATGTTTGATTGTTAATCATGTTTTGTACGGCTCAATTGTTCTAACATTCAATGAAAATCCCGTGCATTATAGTTAATTAATTGAATTGAATGTTAGAGAGGGAGACACCTATGTAAGTAAATAAAGTAAATAAACTGACTTTAAAAAAAAACTATCGAGTTTCTTGCCAGCTTATTAGACTTGACGTTTAGACTTGGCTAAAATAACCTACATGATTAAATATTTTATTCCTACTTGCTCCTACGACTTCCTCCACCGACAAAAGATTTATTAGTTATTCTCGTAACAGGGAAAAAGAACTATGTGTGCCACGAGTGCGGCGCGCAGTTCGAGGAACCGAATCCGTTGAAGGTGCACTTGTTCCTGTCGTGCGGCGAGTACGAGCCGGCGGCCTTCTGGCGGAGGTTCCGCGCGCGGCTCACCGCGTCCGCCGCCGCGCGCCCGTCCGCCTTCCGGCCGTACGCCGGACACCCGCCCAGTCCGCCGGACGCTCCGTACGGTCCGTACGCTCCGGACGCGCCGGACGCGGCGGCGCGGCTGGAGGCGCTGGCGGCGGAGTGGGGGCGGTCGCGCGACGGCCACCTGTGCCTGTACTGCGGCAAGCTGTACTCGCGCAAGTACGGCCTCAAGATCCACATCCGCACGCACACGGGCTACAAGCCGCTGCGGTGCCGGTACTGCCTGCGCGCGTTCGGGGACCCCAGCAACCTCAACAAGCACGTGCGGCTGCACGCGGGGGTGGCGGGGGGCGGTGCGGGGGTGGCGGGGGGAGGTGCGGGGGGCGAGCACTCGTGCGCGCAGTGCGGCAAGCGGCTGGTGCGGCGCCGCGACCTGCTGCGACACGTGCGCGCCAGGCACGCGCCCGCACTGCACACCACGTGACCACCACACACCGTCCAGATCAGTGGCCTAGTTACCTAGGGGCTAAACGGCGCAGTGCCCCGAGACCCTCAAGCTCAGGGTGCCCTCGAACCCTTACCAAAAAATCTCAATCGGACTGAACTTTTCAAAATAAATATGACAGGTTGCGACCCGCTTTAATCATGGCAAGTCAGTTGACAGAAATTCGAAAGCCTTCCTTCCTTCCTTCGAAACCTTCGGAATTCGCCTAAATTCTTTCTGTGGGTTGACAGTGTTGTCAATTTGACGGATAGCGATAAGTAATTATTACTGTATTATAGCTGAAATTATAATCGCCGATGTTTTGATATCGATATTAAATCTTCAACAACATCGATATTAAATCTTCGGCGATATCGACTATAACAAGAAATGAAAACATGAACATGGCACAGCCTAAAAAAGATGATCCGAAACGCAGTGACATGACATCGAGTGATATTACGGGAAACATCGATGTTTGTCTAACATCAGTCATTCGTAGTCGAGATCATCGTTGTTAACTAATTGTAACTTTTAATTATTTATTAGACAATATATTATATATTTAGGAGTACCTAGTCATTTCGATTGTAAAATAAAATTTGTAATTATAATTAAATGTTTTTATTTTAATTAGTCAAGTCTGAAACCAGCCATATAACGTTTGGTTATAAATCGCTGATATTAAACTATAAAATTTTACAAGATTACCACCACAGTACCTACATTACTGAAACACAGACCCTCAGACAGACAATCAATCCGTTGTCATTTCAGAGATTGACGCATTCAAATGCACAAACAATAACAAACAAATATTATTTAATAGTGTTGTCTGTCTGACAACAGTATTAAATAATATTGCTTTGTGTTCTATTATGTTAAGATGCAATCAAGACATCTATAGACCTAGACGGTGTTGAGTTTGTAAGGTACTAAATAGAGAGATGAACAATGAAAATGTTTGCTGTCAGTATATGACATGAAGGTCCCTCGGGCGAAGTTGTCGGTTAGGACTATAGATGAAACGGATAGCAGTTTGGCCTGAAACCGGATACCGGATATTCGGCCAACCATGTAACCGAATAGCCGGATATCCGGCAGAACTTATCTAACTAATACATACATTTTCTTTCTATAACAGTCATTTACTATTGAGTGATTAAAAATTTAAAACCAAAACTAATTTTAGTCCTTAAGTAATACTAAGACTAACTAAATAAAGCAAACAATTACTTAAAAAAATTTTACGTACGAAGATATAGGGAGTACGTATACGGACTAGTGACTGTGAGAATAGAATGGCTGCTGGCTTCGTATTCATATGGTTTCACCTAACTCTCGACGTTTATTTAAGGAAGTAGAGGAATTTTGAAAATGAAGATATGACTATTGAATTCCTAAAGTATAGCAATATCAAGAAATTGTATCTTTCATTGAGGTAGTTATTGATTATATTACTATAACTTTCACAATTTGACGATGTTTTATTCAATGTTAATTAAGGAAGAAGATGATGATAATGAATTAGTATGTTAGTAGTCTACTCTCATGGTTTCCTTAATTAAAATATCCCATAACTCCATACACGTATATACGAAGATATTTAGACTCCAGAAAAAGAGTAGCGCTAGATGATCCCCGAGACATTCTGTCCGGGAGGCCGTGAGGTCATTTTAAGTTTCAGTAGGGGTCTGATGGCTGAAATGATAAAAGTAACAATATATGGCAGCGGAGGTAGATAATGATAGTCGGTATTGGTTTTATATGTTTATTAGTTTATTGTGGCGGTCACTGTCCGGCCACCTTGGCTGCGATGCGCTTGTCCCTCTCCTCCGCGATGGTGAGCCGGACTCCCTTGCCGCGCGGCAGAGAGATGTACGCTTTTGTGCCCTTGCCGATGATGAACACGTTGTTGAGCCTGCAACGTCACACCGCACTCACTACGCGCACCTCACACTACTGGCTACACCTCCTCTTTAAGTGCGTACCCCTCTGCGTATCAGAGGGGAAGCTAACTAACTATTGCAGTATTGTACAGCATTACAGTCAACCTACTATGTAACAGTTACAAAATGTCTATAGGATGAAAATCTTAAACTAGTCATATATTGAATTGTAGTTTTCTTTTTCTCAATTCTCTAAAATATAATTTATTGAAGTTTGAATATAGGAAACTGAAATCTAAGTTCAGTCAGAGCCATGGATACTCCCACAGATTGTTTTTTTTTTCATTTATTTAATTTAAATAGACTTCAACTTAATGTTTGTTGTTTTAATGTAAATGATCAAAGAATCAACTAAGTGGTCAACATAGGTGCTTTTGTGTTACCTAATTCCGCAGCTAAACAGGTTTGCAAGCTCTGTACCAGTGTATAGGTTAAGATATTGCAGTAATAATAATATTAATCCAGGATCATTTTCGGTAACTACTACAGTGTTGTCAGTTCTAAACAAGCCCGGCTCGTTTCATGAATACTAGATAACTGATATAAATACAGAATCATTTTTTTCATAGAAAACATCTACAGTGTTTTCTATGTAGTATTTACCTAATACAAATAATCATATCGATGAATACAAAATTACACGTTTTAGGAATAGAATCGGCGACCATAGAAAGCAAAGCGGTGTGCTAAACCGCTATACCACAGGGGTCGTAAGTTTACAAAATAATCCAAAGAATTTACAAAATGTCGATGCATATTACAAATGATAAGTATGACAGACGTCACAATGTATTCTGTGGTCCATATGTCTAGGACGGCCACTTCTGCCGTTAGTCTAGTTTGCCGTTCAACGTCGTGTTGAGGAGTGATAGAAATGTAAATGTATATAAAATTTGATCAACAAAACCGTAATGTTCGCGGGAGTCCGCGTACCTGGTGGCGAAGGTGTGTGAGGTGGAGTCCCGCACGTGCACGATGTCGAAGGACCCGGGGTGGCGCTCGCGGGACACGATGGTGCCCACGCGGCCCAAGTTCCGGCCGCCGGTGATCATGCACAGGTTGCCTGCACACACACGCACACACACACTACTCACCACGCTCACCACGCTCACCCACCACAGACGGAACACGATTCCAGACGAGGGTGTCGTAGCAAATAAATTAATATTCTAAATGAGGTTTTTAATTCGATTAGCCACAGCTAGCTTTTTCGCTTCCTACATACTATTACATATTAATCCTTCATTAATTAATTCATTACAACAATAATCAATGGTGTCACGTTGTTTATTGTCAGTTTGGTTATCATAAATCGACACACAAATATTGTCATACTAATTCGTATAACATTATTAATATTATAAACGTGAAAGTTTACGAGTATGGATGGTTGTTTGTTAATCTTTCACGCGAAAACTACTGAACGGATTTTAATGCAAAATAATACATATGCTTTGAATTTCATCCGGGTGAAACCGCTGGAACAGCTAGTATGTCATAATCAGAATAGAGAAATAGTGATTCATACTAGTTACATCCCAAAAATAGAACTTCAACTGATAATGTACACAACAGCAGAAGAATATTGTTATAAAAACTCAATTTTAAAGTAGACAGTAAGCGTAATAAGTACACTTACTGTCTCTCAAATCAAACCAAAAATCATTTATTTCTGTAGAACATTTTAAGTACTTACGAACAGTAAGTATATTTTATACATAACGTCCAGTTCAGTACACACATACAAATTACAAAAATATAAATATATTTTTGGTAGTCAATTTATTTACATAGTGTACATATATAGTTGTTTATGTAGACATTTACACCTATACAAGTTGATCATGTGCAGGATTTTCATTTAATTTTATAACATTAAATGAAAATGAACACTGCTATCATGCACATTTTTCATTTAAGTGATCTGAAACTTACCAGATTCAAACTTAATGAAGTCCATGATTTTGGAGGTGGCTATATCCAGCTGTATGGAATCATTCACTTTGATGAGGGGGTCTGGATAGCGGATGGTGCGGCCGTCATGTGTCACCAGGAAGGGGACGTTCTTAGGCCCCGTCGCCACTCTCTTTACTTTGCACAACTTGTACTGTTGAATCACAAAAGTAATTTAAAATTAATAAATGAATGAAAATGACAATATTGTTTAAATATCTAATACATCACTGGTTGCTGACTTAACATTCATATCCAATCTGTTCATAATTTTAAGAAAAATATCTCTAGATGAATTATAACATGTTGAACAGATCCCTAAACAAAAAAACAATGCTTTGCACTGAACTATGAAATTTTGATACTCATGAAAATATAATCATAATTAAGATTATATTACTACTAACCCCACAAAATGCCTATAAAGGACACAAGACACAGTATCTTTTTTAGTCATTCTGTGCAATTTGTTGAAGAGCACTATAATTCTCAATTCAGCTATGAAGCCAGAGGGCCTTGTTAAATTTGATATTGATTATAATTTTGTTAGTGATTGCTGATAAGCAGAGACAACAAAATAAAAAATGTTTGAGTCTACATTATGGGGCAGTTATTACCAGTGTGAATTAGGAGCTTAATAACAATTTCAATATATTAAAAGATTAAGATCATTGATGACCTTGGTGGTTTAGCTGATTAGCACACCACTTTACATATGATAGTTGCGTGTTCAATTCCTCGCATGGTACAAATATTTGTAATCATGATTATGATTGTTTGTATTGGTCTGGATGTTTTCTATGTATAATATGCATGTATTTATGAAAAAAAAACTAAAAAAAAAACACAAGCTTTAGCTAGCTAAACTTGGGTTTAGATGGTGCTGTGTGAATTGTACTGAGATTAATATTACTAGATTATTTCACTAAATAAAATATAATAAAAGTTGTATATGTGCATTATTACCTTGGCCTCCTCGGGAGTAATGCGGTGAATTGTGAAACGTCCTTTCACATCATAGATAAGTCTGAACAGCTCATTTGTTTTTTCAATAGAAACCACATCTGAAATAATTACCAAAGAAAAATTAAAAAAGGATGTCTCAAGTGTACCGTGTTGTTGTTTGTAAATAATGTGGAAAACTACTGCATGATGATGTTTCAAGAGAAAAAGGTTTTTTTAGTATTTATATTAATCATGTATATTAAGGTTTCTTAAGTGTTGGCAATGCACATGTGTCCATAGGCTATGGTAACCATTTAACATCAGATGGGCCGTAAGCTTGTATGCCACCATAGTAGTATAAAAAAACAAACAAATATAACTAATTCCAATAGTATTCCTTTTTTTTTATACCATGCAGATGACAATAATGCATACAGCCCACTTAATCGTAAATGAATTTATTTATATTTCAATTGTAATACCTGCAGTTGATGACAATGAAGCCGGTATTATAGGAAGGTCCTTATCAAGGACTACTCCAGCCTTACTGTGTCATGACACTATCACTGGGATAACCAATAAGTAATACATTGTCTAAATTACTATTATGAATGTTGAATATTTTATAAACTTAAGAAACAAATGAATAATGTTATGTACAACACTGCAGTTTTATTGCTATTAAATGTATATATCACAAACAAACTATAATGCTGGGGAATGTCTTTAATATCTTCAGCCACAAGCGTGTCGGTGAGACGAAGGGACGCTATCAACGGACAATATCACTATCACGATGCTATATATTAGAAGATTGTTCAATTTTATGTTGAAATGAATTGATAATAAAAACTCAACTTACCCATGAATCCAGCAGGATATGTGGGATCAGTCCTGACTTTGCCATCGACTTTGATGAGACGCTGTTTCACGATCTTGAGTACCTCGTTACCGGTGAGGGCATACTTGAGTCTGTTTCTTAGGAATATGACGAGGGGCAGGCACTCTCGCAGCTTGTGTGGACCAGTGGACGGACGCGGGGCGTACACACCGCCCAACTTGTCCAACATCCATGCTTTGGGTGCGTTTAAACGCTTCAAGTGCTTTTTAGGACCGCGAGCCTACAGGCAACACCAATTACATTATAACCTTAAAACCTATTTATGTTACCGGTAAATATTTAAATCACATTATAGACGGCTTTTAAAGTTCTAGATTAATATTGTTGAATTTAAATGAAACAATAATTAATAGAAATATAAAGAATATAAATATATATTTTAATTAACACAACATTTAGATGTACAAACTAATTGAATATATAAAAATATAGTACAATATAGATTTTTCATGACTTGTCTTAACAAGGAAAATCATATTTTGCAAATAATATTTAGTTTTTATCACGATTTCAATGGATTTAAAACAAAATTAGATAAAAACTCACCATACTGACAACAACTTTTAAATGAAAGAATTGAAAAGAGAGTATCAAGGAACGTCAAACTGTCAAAGCACAGACCAATTCAGATTATAGATACTCACAAATTTTAATGACAAAATTTGACATAAATTTTATCGTGAAGCCCATAGACATAATGCAGTTCCGAAGAGGCTTCCTCACATGATATGTAACTAAAAATCTAAAAATCATGATATATAAATATATCTAAAAATCAAATTTAAGAAAAAATATACAATTAAATATTAAAGGTTAATAATAAAAATTAAAAGTTCATTTTAATTCTCATTTACAAAATTTCTTATAATGGGTAAACCAAAATTAATTATTTTTGTAATGTCTACAACCCGGGTAGACTGACTGAAGTTATTAATAATAATAATAACCGCTGGACGATAATGGGCAACCAACGTACGAGATTTTTAGACTTCTTTTTATGAAGAAATACCTTTTGAAATCAGCAACTCTACTTGTGTCTTTGTACACATAATTACTTTGTACACGTACATAAACTACCTACATATATCCCAGAGAACAAAGAAGTGTTACTTTTTTGTTCTGTGCTCTATCTGCATTTCTTTTATTCCACAACTCATCCAGAAGGATGTTTCAACCAAAAAGAATCGATAAGAAATTTGGTCTTTTAAATAAACGTTGCACAACTTTACATGTTTTAGTAAAAATAGCACGATTATAAACGAATCAACATATTTATTTAGTTGAATAATACAATAACTAACTTCTGTTCGAGAGGATGACGAATGCGCCAACCGTCTTTACTCATAATCATATTTTAGGAAACCCAATAAACCGGCCTACTCGCACACACACACATCTGGAAATGTAAAGAAAGCCTTATTGGTCCGGACACTCAACCACATCATAATTACTTTAAATTTAGGGCAAGACATTGTAATGTCGATTAGTAGAGTCATTGCCAGCAATATACCATACTATATTCATAAATTAAAAAAAAACACTTCAAATTAATAAATAGGAACGCAGTAGAAGAAAAAGGCGTGAGCGCGGGATGTGCTCTTCGCTGTGATGGATTTCGGGGCGTCGTCGTTCGGGGGATTCCATTTGTGGGGAAGTTTTGACGCTTGGGTTCTCTATGCAGAGAGATCTCTATTCGTGGGACTGCTTGGGGTCTGCTATGGTGGGGGGCGGGTCCCGCGCTCTCGTTAGGAATTATTAAGAAATTCAATAACAGTTTTGCACTGTACAACAATTGTATGTGTATCAACAATTCAAGATTTTAAATATATATATAAGAAAATCAAGAAAATAAGGGATACGCAGACATGGCTGTATGGGCGCAGTTCCCTTTGCCTTTCCGTTAAAGGATAAACAAACAAAAACAAAAAAAGGAAGGCAGTAGTCTCATAATCTCATTATATATAATTTGAATTTCCTATATTAAGCATGTAGGTATCTCCCACCGTTTCATTACCCGTATATACAAAAATACAAGAATATTATGTAAAAAAAATTGGAGCAAATGTACTATAGGCAACCCTGAAGAAAGGTCAAACGTAGGACAAAAATGTCAACATTGTTTTTATTTTTATCTGTCATTATCATCTGTTATCATTTACCATCACTACAAAAAATTTACAATTTTTTTTATATTAAAAATATTTATTCAATATTTGACAAATACATCTTACAGAAGATAAATCAATAAAGGTCATTCTATAATATTGTTGATCACCAGCTGTCCAGTAACCAGTACAAGGTACCAGATTTTATTTTAACGAACATCTATTTAATCAATCATCAATTAGATGGAACTAAAGAACTGTGGACGGTGCTGGCGACAGTAATACTTGTGTTATACGTTGTACAATATACAATAAGTAGTGTTTGATTTTTCTCATTAATGAAACCACTTTCAGACAATATGTATACAAAATAAATAATGTTTATACAGAAAACTAAAATAATAGTCGTACTTCAGCTTAAGACAGATATAGGAGGTCATGAAGGTACTAGGTACAGAGACTGGACTGGGTGGACTACCAACTAACAAAATGGGTAGGATTGACAGGCAAAAGGTGAGTAGGGAGACAGAGGAAAACATGGTCCGATGACATCAAAGATGTAGCAGGAGAAAATGGGATGAGTGTGGCTATGAACAGAATATCATGGAGCAAGTCAGAAGAGGCTGTTAATCCACACAGGAAAGGAATTAAATGTATGCTTAAAAAATGTAATTATACTATAAAGAAATAAAGCTTAAATAAACAAATAAACTATTTATTTGTTGTCTAGTGAGTCGTGAGATCTACAAAAGTTGCTATTTAATTTATTTATAAGTTTAATAATCTCAAAATACTATTAAATTCTCTGGCTACCCATTGACATGGGTGCAGGTGGAACAATCATGGTATTTTCAGAAAGAAAATTCAAATCTTATATTTTATCAAACTCAATGTAATTACAATCAGTATAAACAATTTGAATTTCTCTGAAATAGATTTCCTGCTAAATTAGCCTGGATTATTTCAGGCAGAAGGAAATTTTAAGGAAGTAAGGCTGTGTGGTATGCTACTGAGGCGTCCTTTGACCATGCATAGTGCATGTTTTATATTGTGTATATAGCCAATTTTTTTTAAACTGCAAAAATGCAGTCTGTTATGTACTAATGTGACTGATACTATAAACTAAGTCTAATTTTTTGTATTCAATAATACTGGATATTACCTTACTAACTTGCATGTATTCAGTGGGTCAACACTCAACATTTGCACACAAAGCCAGTAGTGTCAGGTTGCATCCCTTTGTGTTTTGAGATAGAAATACAACACTAACATTGTTACCAACTATCAACACTGTCTAGTCCATAGCAACCCGTTAATACTCCATATCTTACCATATAATTGGGAGATAATAACTGCTATTAGGTGGTTTGGTTTTGGGATTTATTTCTAACTACCGACCCGTCCTAGCTTTACACAGATAAATTACAAATCTTTCAATTTCTAGGCTTGTTCTACACTATAACACGCATGTATTATACATATAAACCTTTCTCTTGATTCACTCTATCCATTGCTGAAAACTGTATTAAAATTCGTTATATAATTTAAAAAATATAAATGAACAGATTGTTTTAAACTATACAAGAATTTTTCTTCTCATCATGAAATGTCTGTATTGATGAACCCTAAGCATACACACATTGTTTGGTATTACTCTTTACTATAAATTTAATTAAATTCTTGTGGTGGAATGTAACTGTCTATGATAGAGTGGAAATGCTGTTAATGTAATGGTTTCTTAGGAAATAAAATAATAATTTATTATCACGTTAATATTATCTGTTACTTTAATTATAGTTTGTGTTGTATGTACATTGAAGCGATGTGAACATGTTAAGCGGCTTGTACAAATTAACTTTCTGCAGTTCAGAGGTAACATATGATACTGCACAATGCCATTTTCTATACTTACCTTGTTTATTAGCATTTTAGTAGGGTACACAGCCCATTACTTGCATTAGACAACGATTTGGGTTAAATCAATTATAATATACTAGCTGCTATGCAAGGCTACACGATTTTACATTTACCTTAGATACCTTATATTAGTCGTCTTAAATTAGCTATTTAGTCATGGAAAAGTAACAAACAGACAGACACTCTTTCGCATTTATAATATTAGTAAGGCTAAATCGATTCTATACTATCAATACTGAACAATACAAGTCATAGAAGCACTTAAAAACATTTTGTTTATAAATTATTGAGACATAAGAGTACCCAGTGTGTCATAGGTAGCAGTTGAGGGCAGTTTCCTTGGTGTGTAAACCCAAATCGCAATATCGCATTTTTTTTATTCCGTTTATTTACCTGGGTCGTTGAGTAAGTTGTTTACTTAATGTCACATCTGTGCTAGAAAATGGGATTGTTAGTAGTGTGGATAGATGATCTCATTGCCTGCAATATACCATATTATCATAGCAGGAGTAGCATTCCATTATCATCCACAAAAAATAAAATGACGCATTTGTAGATTTGGTGGTGATGGCTCTAGTTTATTCAACAAATAAATAAATAATAAGGGGAGAATGTAAGTGAATATGGCAAGTGTCTGTCTGTGCGTGGTCCGCGGCGCCCGTGACGGAGGCGGTGCGGTTCCGGTGTACGAGCGCCACGTTTATATAAGTGAGCGGAGCACAGCCGCCACGTTTAAACGAAAATTGCTGTCACATGGGTTTTCATGATCGGTGCTTACAATCTACCTACCGAACATGGTGACTCGCGAGAAAGCAGAATATATCAGAATGGTGCAGGAAAAAGCCGTCACAGAAAAGGTACAAGTGAAGTCTAGTGCAGGGTTTGGTCGCGATGGACGTGACTTCGAGACTGATTGAACTATTAGTGAATAAAATTATAAGTCATCTCTTTGGTGTGGTGGTACTTAGATATTAAACATAAATTCAATAACTAATAAAGTATTTTTATAAATATTACTAATAATACTAAATAGTATTGACTCATTACAATCAGTATATAAAATAACATTTATATGTAGATACGTTATAGTAGTCAAGCGCGACTTAGGGTAATGTTTCTGTATACCGTGTAGTGTGGTAACAACTCCCCCCTGCCTGCAGGTACTGTGTATACGTTTATACTAAGACAGACTTTATACAAAGTGGTCTGGCAATCTTACATACTTCAGTCTCCGAGTAGCTTCCTTTCTAAGGTTATTTCTGCTTGAAGGGTAACTATATGGCATTGAAATTGGTTCAATTCGTTTCATTTCAAAGTAACATACCCCATGTTACTTTGAAATGAAATTATTTGTAGACAAATAAAACTTAAGACTACCTATAATCATGGTAGCCACATAAGGATGATAAGATGCGCATTGAGTCAGGCCGGTTAGCCGGTCATTGAAAACTACGATGATATCTACGTGGATCGTATGGAGGTCGACCTGGCATGGTCCATTACCAACAGTGGAGCCACTTGTGCCCATTGTTAAAAATCCCCTCACTTCGAAATTACAGGACACGGAGGTAGGAATTAGCAATACATAAGGGCACCTCGTGCGTCACAAGTCCGTGGTGCTATTCATGTATTTAGCTCACGGTTGGCACTTGCAACGCGGTCAGCTGGCAAATGGCAAACATTCATGTAGTTCAATAAAAACATCACTGGACGGAATATACGAACCGGTACGATCCGGCGTTAAAAGGTCACGTCCGTGACCAGTAACATACATGCCATTAAATATTTACCTATTGGGGGTTCTTTTTAATAAAGCCCCGGATATTAATTTCCTAGAAATTGCTACTATTTATTTACATACGACATTTTATATTAATTTATGGGGTACGAAACAAAAGTAAACAACAAAATACATAGAGATACATGTAACAGTTTTACACGTGTATAACTTATTACTATCTTTACGCTAATCTTATTGGGTGTTTGTCAACAGAGGCAGATGGCGATCGACCGGTGCGCGGCGGAGGCGGCCGCGGAGGGCCCGCAGACCAGGGTCCTCACGCTGGAGCACGGCGAGCACAACGACGCCACCCTCTACAGGTACCTACAGTATCAGTAATCTATAATACAATTACAATTATTATCTAAACCGTAATTAGTTATTTATACCAGACGCTGAAATAATTTAGACATAGTAATTATGATTAATAAACTTGATTATGAAAAATAAGCAGTTTACCGTTTAAATTTGATAATATTTAATTTGAGCACACACACATCTAATATCTGAGTGTATTTCGTAATTGGTATTTTAATTAGAGCCTGTAAATCATTTGGCCAACTCCGTTTGTATGTTATGAAATCGAGATGTAACTGTTATTCTTGCTAATATATTTTATTTCAGATTCAAAAAAGGGTACTACTTGCAATTCTGCCCGGGTCCCAGTTTACTCGGTCGAAAAGTATTTCTCTACACCAACTACGTGGTGTCGGACAACCGTAAGTGTTCGCTATCGGTCGGGGCGCGTGGCGGCGACCGGGCCGGCTGCTCTGTTGACTCGCTACTTGCTTTGGTGTTCAGCGGAGGACGACAAAGGCGAGCAGGCGGAGTTCGTCCGCAACCAGTACTACGGGCTGGAGTGGCGCGGCGCGGCGCGCGGCGAGCCGCTGGGCGCGGGCGTGCTCGTCACCGACACCCAGCTCTACTGCGAGCTGCGACTCACCCGCGCCGGCTCCTTCCACTACTACTTCGTCTACGATAATGCGTAACTATATTCGATTCGATTGTTACATTCACCGCCCGCTTCCGGCGCTGGGAGCGAGCGGGAGGAGTAAGAGAACGAATTTAATTTCGTCTCGACCGAAAACTTCTAAAACTGTTAAGACAGTTGTATCACAGATAACATAATATTACATAGTTGTATTATGAAACGACAGTTGCGGTCCGGGGGTGTGTTGAGGAGTAGAACTCTCTCAAAGATTTATTTTTTTGGAAAAAAAAATATTTATGTACTATAAACTTTAGTTTTATTATGTTATCTGTGGTTTTATTTAACAGGTTATCTACTGCTTACTAGATGGCGTTGTACAAAATGTATGTCACAATAAATTTGTAGTGCTATCTATTGTATCTACAAACCGCAATTTAGAGATTAAAACAAAAATATCTAAATAGCGCTGTCTATATTTACTACATGGCCGTGTAGTTAGCAGTAGAAAACCTATTATAATAAATTTCCTAAAAAAAAAAAAGTTATAGTGCTATAAGATCTATCGTTCAAAATTTGCGTCCTGTCCTTCAATTTACCCTCGAAACCTTAGCTGAAGTTTTCTAGTATCAATATAACTATTCTAACTACCTTGTAATTTTTGGACAGGGTGGAAATCGGTCCTCGATGGTCGGACCTTGACCGGTTGCTCATTCAACTGGTCGTCCGTAAGAGAGCTCAGTCCGACGACACTACCTTTTAAGATGTTCTTTGACACAAACTGATTCTTATATACGTTCTCTGTGCGCATTCAACTGTCATCAGATAATGCGTATATTACTAGTATTCGATCCATGGACTTATAACTTTTTATTTTATAAATAACAAACATACATTAAGGAAACTTGCCACAATACAATAGCGAAGACCGCGCCCAAAACCGTCGAGCCCTTCCCGAGATTAGTAACGCACAAACGGGCAAACATTTAAAAAATGTTAGGGTTCACTGCACGGAAACGTGATAGGAGTAGGTAGTGGTGACATGCGTGGCACGGAGTGGTGTGTGAGATGTGTGAGATGTGTGAGGCGCCGGCCGCAGGGAGTCGGCGGCGGGCCCGGCGGGCTCGGGCTGGTTCGCGGTGCCGCCGACGGTGGCGGCGGGCGGGCGCGCGCTGCCGCCGGCGGCCGTGAGCTGCCAGACCGTCGTCGCCAAGTGTCTCGGGCCGCTGCCGCGCTGGCCGCGCGTGCTGCGCGTCGCCCGGGAGGCCGGCTACACCATGCTGCACTTCACGCCCGTGCAGGTACCGCCGCCTCCTCCCCCGCACCGCACACCCTCCCGTCCTTATATACCTCTAACACTAAACAAACTTATTATAAATTTAGTAATGACATATTGTAATTTAAATAATGTAAATTAAATATTGTAATGGGTGAAAACTGTGATTGGTACAGTTTATGCTGTAAATAATATAAATGACGTAGTGGAGTAACTTGAAACAGTCATGCTCGCTATAAAGTACAAACTTGTGGCGGCGTGGTGGGCCGGGTCGATGCGCTCCCTCTAATATGGTTGAGTGCAATGATGGCTGGCTCATCCATCATACACGTGAACGGGTGCTGCTTGTGGGGACTGGTATGTTCAGGTTGCGAACACTGATTAGATTTTTTTATTTTTTTTTTATATAGCATGTGGTGGTGGTCACTCTATTCTCCCAAATTTGAATTTAAATATAATAGTATTATTGTAAATATGTACAACATTAAACAAAACGAGCTGAGTTTCTTGTCAGTTCTTCTCATTTCGAAATCGTTCCGAACTGACGGTGGATTTGACATATCATAAGAGTCTGTAATGGACCTACATAAATAAAGATATTTTGAATTTGAATTTATACCTCTTGGAGCTCGTACATGACGACGGAGGTTTCTATATTTCAGTACGTTTTCGAACTTTAAATATTTTATTATGCGTCTTGATATACCGCAGGAGCTGGGCGCGTCCGACTCCAGCTACAGCATCGCCAACCGGCTGCGGCTCGACCCCAGGTACAGCGGGGACTCCGGCCGCGAGGCCACCTTCGCGGACGTCGAGAACGTCATCTCCAAGATACGCAACGAATGGCAGGTACGTGCCGTACCGATCACCTGACTAGTCTTTCGTCGCGAACACCTAAAAAATATTGTTTCGTTATTAATGGATTTGTATTGTTTTGTTTTCTTTCGCTGTCATTAGCATGCGTGAAGCCAAACATATTCAGTGCGGAAACTTGAACACTGTTAACGGTGCTGCATATGATTTGATGCGCATACCGTCCCTAATCCGGGACTCAAAAATACAATCAGGACATAAAATCGGGGGAAAAAACCCAACTGTTTTTTTCCTCTTGTGTTATTTAATTTGCTTCGCATCTGCGAAATCGCATCGGTAGTATAAGGTTCGTCGACGATACAAGTGCGCCCGTGCAGATGGCGTCGATCAGCGACGTGGTGCTGAACCACACGGCGAACGAGACGCCGTGGCTGACGGAGCACCCGGAGGCCACGTACAACTGCGGCACGTGTCCGCACCTGCGGCCCGCCGCGCTGCTGGACGCGCTGCTGGCGCGCCTCACCGCCGCCGTCGGCCGCGGCGACCTCCGCGCGCGAGGCCTGCCGCCCGCCGTCACCACCCACCAGCACGTGCAGGTGAGAGCCCGCGGTATATTCTGTGAGAGGTACGATGCAAATTTCATTGATTCATAACGAGTCATGACGGTCGGCAGGCCATCAAACATCTGCTGGAGTCGGAGCTGGTGCCGGAGCTGCGCCTGCATGAGATGTTCACGTGTGACGTGGATCGCATCGTGCAGGAGTTCTACCAGCTGGCGCGGAACAAGTGAGTGCTCGCGACGGTCGGGTACCGGCTCCCCGCCCCCGCTCCCCGCCCCCGCCCCCGCCCCCGCTCACCGCCGCTCGTGTGCAGGGTGCCGCCGGTGCGCGCGGCCGACGGCGGCGAGCTGAAGCTGCTGCCCGACCCGCAGTACCGCCGCCTGCACGCCGCCGTGGACCTGGAGCTGGCGCTGCAGCTCTACAACGTGTACCGCACGGACTGCTACGACGAGGAGGCGCGGCTGCGGCGGAGCTGCGACGAGCTGCGGCGGCGGCTGGAGGAGCTCAACGCCGCCGCCGCCGACGAGCTGCGCGGACACCTGCGGGCCGCGATCGACAACTGCGTCGCCACCATGCAGTGAGTGCCCGCCCCGCATTCTGCGACGGCTCCCACCGACCCGTCCGGGACGGCCCGTACGGGTCGCTCGATGTACCGACGCTTATTTTTCATTCGATTACAAATTTTACTTTTTATCGAACGTATTAATCGTATTCTTGTGTTACATGTCACCGTAGGTATTTTCGTCTGCAATCGGACGGGCCGAAGATAGAAGAAGTCAGCGAGAAGAATCCTCTGGTTCCGAGGTGAGATGTCGGCGGTGCACACATGTATTTTACTATTATAAATAGTCTCTCGGCCACACTCCGAAGAATAATTGTGGTACCTGATTTCTAAAAATTATATATTTTTGATATGACCTGTCGGACGACGTAATAATGGTTTCCCATCAAAAACATAAATGTGAAATGAAAGCCAAGTTCAATATTGTGATATATGCATCTTCATATAATTTTAGTAATCGGCCAATATATCGGCCAATGAAATAGAATCAATTAAGCGAAAAATTATAATAAAATTTTACCAGTTTCTGATTTATTCCTTTCCAAATTTGATTCTATGTCATTTGGAACTGGGTTAGAATTTTGATCTATAGGTCAATCAGTGATTATGTAAATGACGATTATTGGACGTTAATATCTAAATAACCGTTTGATATGTTTATAAAATACATATTAGTAAGTATGTATCTCACAAGTCTCAATATCTAAGTTATCAGTTTACTTGAAACTCGGCTTGACACGCTGCCGCGTGTCTAGATTTGACACGCTGCCGCGTGTCTAGATTTGACACGTTTATGTGAATGAGTTTTTGAGTTGTGAAGGGTCAAAACTGGCTCCAAATAAGCGATCGGTAAATTTTGCACGAGATTGTAATATCGGAGGTCGCGGTCCGGCGGCGGCGTACGTGCAGGTACTTCCTGTGGGCGGGCGGCGCGGCGGGCGCGCTGTCGGCCGCGCAGGCGGAGGCGGCGGCGTGCGGCGCGCGCGCGGCGCTGGTGATGGCGCACAGCGGCTGGCTGCTGGACGCCGACCCGCTGCAGGACTTCGCGGCGCCGCCCGCCGCCGGCCGGGCCTACCTGCGCCGCGAGCTCGTCGCCTGGTCCGACTGCGTCAAGCTCAGGTACGACACTGGCCGGCCGGTACTACCGCTGAGAATGGATCGTGAGAACTTAACCGACCCTCTCCGACCTATTTTGTCATATAAAACGACTATCTCAGTCCGACGCGGGATCGGTATGTGACTCGTCGGTCCCCTTTCATGACTGATTTATTTTGTTACTCGAGTAACTTAAATTATTCATGTTAAATTTGCTATGTTACTGTATGTATTCACATAAAAATTTCTAAATATGTAGTTTTCAGTCTTTTTAGTGTTTCTCGCTTGATCTTCTTGTGATAAGACTACCTACTACTACTTTCCGAATCAGTGGTAAAATGAAAAAATAAAACTATTCAATGGTGCTCATATTAAGTTTATTTGAATACAGATTATTTCTATTTATGTATAGCTACTTGGTCGATGTGAGCGAATTCAGCTATAATTACATGTACTCATTATGACATCGACGCTTCGGTGGTCTAGCGATTGGACACACCATCTTACGATGGTCGTAGGTTCGATTCCTTGCTCGATCCAAACATTCGTATACACGAGTGTGATCGTTTGTATCAGTGTGGATGTTGTCTGTGTATGTGCTGTATCTGGGCGGCAAGTATAACCGTCTGTCCCGACTCAGGTACGGTGCGCGGCCGGAGGACAGTCCGTTCCTGTGGGCTCACATGCGCGAGTACGTGGAGCTGACGGCCGAGCTGTTCGATGGACTGCGGCTCGACAACTGCCACTCCACGCCGCTACACGTGAGTGCCCCACACACACATACCCACACGTTAATGTCTAAATACCAGTTTGATAAGTGTTTATGACATTTGGAGCACATATGTATCTCGCAAATCTCAATATATGAGGGGTCAAAAGTGGCTACTCGACCTTGGCTTGACACACTATCGTGTGTATAGATATAACGTATGGCACACACGCACTACGTTCACATTCAAACATAATATTAACGATGCGATCGAATCGACCTATTTTTCGAACAATAAGTTGCTCGAGATTTGTTAAGTTTCAACACTTACTGAAGTATAAAATACCACTAGTTGCTGTTTGGCGAACGAGGAAAATATTACTTTTCCTCGAACATCGATGTGTAGGATGTATGTAGTGAGAAGCGCAAGAGCGGGGAAACCAATACAATTTGATATTATATCTTTTAGGCGCGTATTGTGACCGGAAGCGCTCCTTATATTATAGTATGATCAATATATTCATAAGTATATTTTTGTATCAAAAATTATGATTATATTTAAATGACACATATAGAACTTAAGATTATATATTATCTAATGGGTCGCGTGGCAGGTGGCCGAGTACATGTTGGACTGCGCCCGCAACGTGAAGCCCGACCTGTACGTGGTCGCGGAGCTGTTCACCAACTCGGAGCACGTCGACAACATCTTCGTCAACCGGCTCGGCATCTCGGCGCTGATCCGCGGTAAACGCTGTTTTCGTCATTTTTGTTTTGTCACGTTTTTTTTTTGATGTACGATTATGGTATGGTGCACCCGTCTGTGCTAACGAGGTCAGGTCAGTTAGCCCATCGTGGTAAATTCACCTGGAATTTGTCACGATGGTTTTCGGGGGAATCGCGTGGAGGTCGACTGACACGATACATCGCTAGCGATGAGGTCATCGGTCCGCATCGCTGACAATCCTTTTCGCCTGTTTCATAATACAATGATCTCGATCGTCGTCGATGTGATGATCCTATCGGTCGCAGAGTCGCAGAGCGCGCGGTCGGCGGGCGAGCTGGCGCGGCTGGTGCGGCGCGGCGCGCGGGCGGTGGGCGCGCTGCGCGGCGCCGCGCGCCGGCCGGCCGCGCCGCGCGCCGCGCCCGCGCTGCTGCTGGACGCGTCGCACGACAACCCCGCGCCCGCCGCCGCGCGCTGCGTGTTCGACCTGCTGCCCGGCGCCGCGCTCGCCGCGCTCGCGCCCGGCGCCGCCGGCTCCACGCGCGGCTACGACGACCTCGTGCCGCACCAGGTCAGCCTCCGCGCCGCGGCTACCGTACGATCTCCGACTGTCCTTCTTCGATGCTAGATGTGACGCCGACGCCCGAGACGAATCGGACCGATTTACTGAGTTGCCCAAACGATATTTTACTTGCGCTTGAGAGGGTACATGCGATTTACGCTGACTTTAGCAAAGCTTTCGATGTCGTGAACCACGATATACTCATTAATCAATTAGAACACGCCGGTATCTGTGGGTCTTCGTTGAGGTGGTGCGATTCCTACCTAAGAAACCGTTCGCAACTCGTTATGCTACGCGTGTGATGACAGGAGCGGTGGTGTTTTAATATAAATCAAGAGTAGTACCTTCGGGCGTTCCTCAAGGTTCCCATTTGGGTCCTTTGTTCTTTTCGTTATATCGAATATGTGAGAATTACAATATTGTCAGACACATATTTGATATTTTCGGAGCATCAGTCAGGAATAGTAAACGGACACTAAGTTGTAATTTTCTTGAAATACAAGAAGCTTTATAACATAGTTCTCTATTAATGCAAATTATTCTTCTATAGTGTTATTTTGTGTGTGTAAAAATTAAGTTATGCATGCTGTGTTTACATCTAGAAGGATGTATTAATTAAATAGTTTGTTTTATATGTATAAAATTATTATTAAAGTATTCTGTAAGGCTTCCAGTTTTGTATATATAACAAGTATGAGCGTGTCGACAGGTGGACGTGGTGTCGGAGTCGCGGCTGTACACGGAGTGGGCGGAGGGCGGTGAGTGTGCGGGGGGTGCGGGGGGCGCGGGGGGCGCGGTGGACGCGGGCTGCGGGCTGGTGGCGGCGCGGCGCGCGCTGCTGGAGCTGCGCCTGTCGCTGGCCGCCGGCCACAGCGAGCTGTACGTGGACCAGCTCGACGACCACGTGCTCGCAGTCACGCGACACCACCCGCACACGCGGCAGGTACCGTCCACACTCACCCACACACCCATACACCTATTCATACCCACATTTAATAAGTAATATTCATATCGATATAATAATAGTTGATTAACGCAAAGCGCAACATAACTCATTATTGGCTATCTATTGCTGAATCGAATATTACTCCAAGGATAAGATGCCCTTGGAGTACTTAGGGTATCTAACCATCGGAGTAAAGTTCTGTCCAAAATAGACTACTATTATGATGTACTACAACAGAATATCAGTAATTGTAACGTGGGTTATATTCTATTACAATCCTTTAAAAAAAATCTTAGTAGACGACATAGGCAATCGCAATGTGACAAATATTCTGAAAAAAAAAAAAAACTATTTACTGGCCGGTTACTTAATGGAATGGTTTGCCTGTCAATATTTCTTTGGTGTGACTCCAATTTGGAATTAAAAAATATTTTTTATTTGTTATTTGTCCGGAACCCAAAATGCAATAAAAATACCAGGAGCAATATGAAGAGGTCTTTTATTCCACTAAATATCCGTTATTTTTAGGCATTATGATGTCGATGGCCGGGACAGCTGATTGGGCTCTAGTGTTGTGCACAGTAACAAAACTATTATTTTACTTAAGTATATTTATTATATAAAGTTAAAAAGTACTTCACTCTGATGAGAAATCTTAATCCGGCAGTCGGTGATCGTGGTGGCGCACACGGCGTTCTCCGCCCCGGACCCGGCGAGCGACGGCCGCTACGTGAAGCCGCTGCGGTTCGAGGGAGAGGTCGAGGAGATCCTGCTGGAGGCCAGCCTGGTGCACGTCGATCACGAGTAAGCGGGCGACGACCGCCTGGGCAGAGCCCGGTCTCCCACCGCGACGATGAAACTCTCCGCGTCACCGTCGCGGGGAGCGAGGCGCGGCCTGACGGAACGTTCGGTCCGCAGGAGCACCGGGCGGCCGCTGCAGGCGCCGGGCGCCTTCGAGCGCGACCCGCGGTACATCAACGGGCTCGCGGAGTACCGCTGCGACGTGCGGCGCGGCGTGGCGCCGGCGCGGTCCGCCATGGTGGCGGCGGCGCGGCGCGAGGGCGCGCTCACCGTGCTCGAGTTCCGGCCGCTGCGGCCCGGCGCCGTGCTGGCGCTGCGCGTGGCGCCCCCCGCGCCGCCGCCCGCGCCCCCCGCGCCCGCCGCGCTCGCCCCGCTCGCCGCGCTCGACCTGCCCGACCTGCACGCGCTGCTCTACCGCTGCGACGCGGAGGAGCGCGACGCGGGCGGCGGCGGCGTGTACCACGTGCCCGGCCACGGCCCGCTGCCCTACGCCGGCCTGCAGGGCGTCGTCTCGCTGCTCGACGAGCTGCGGCCGAGCGACGACCTCGGCCACCCGCTCTGCGAGAACCTGCGCGCCGGCGACTGGCTGCTCGAGTACCAGTGGCGGCGCCTGGAGCGCGAGCCGCGGCTGGCGGCGGCGGCGGCGTGCGTGCGCGCCGCGCTGCAGCCGGTGACGCGGCTGCCGCGCTACCTGGTGCCGACGTACGCGGCCCGGGCGCTGGCCGCGCTGCACGGGGCGGCGACGCGCGCGGCGCTGGCGCGGCTGGGCGCGGCGGGCGGCGGCTGCGCGCTGTCCCGCGCGCTGGCCCTCACCAGCGTGCAGCTGGCGGGCGCGGTGCCGTCCGCGCCGCTGCCGCCGCCGTCGCCGGCGCTGCCGCCGCCGCGCCCGGCGCCGCCGCCGCGCTGCGTCACGCTGGCCGCCGGCCTGCCGCACTTCTCCGTCGGCCACATGCGCTGCTGGGGCCGCGACACCTTCATCGCGCTGCGCGGCCTCTTTTTGCTGACCGGTCGCTACCAGGTGACTCCTTCTCCTCGCCGTCTCTATCGCGAGATACTCGACTCTCATATGACTGATGCGACTTTATACCGGTTCGTTCAGGTTCTGACGCTGATGTAGCTTTAATGAAACACATTTTTGACTGTTGGGAGAGATCTCCGAATGCTATCGGTGTATTCTGTGACCTCTCCGAAGCATTTGATTGCGTCGATCACGAAACACTCTTACTCAAACTTGAACATTACGATATTAAAAATGAAGCTCTAAAGTTGATGAAATCCTATTTAGATAATAGTGATAAAAGTGCTTATATTAAGTCTATTTGAATAAAAATTATTTCTATTCCTATTCCTATTTCAGGACGCTCGGTTTCACATCCTCGGCTTCGCGGCCTGTCTGCGTCACGGACTGATACCGAATTTGCTGGACGGCGGAATCAACGCGCGGTACAACTGCAGAGACGCAGTGTGGTGGTGGTTGCAGAGTATCAAGCAGGTACCGTGTGGATGTGTACGTGTGCGCGAGTGGTCGTGGTGAGCGCCGACTGACGTTTCGTTTGTCGCAGTACTGCTCGGAGGCGCCGCAGGGGACGGCGCTGCTGACGGAGCCCGTGTCGCGACTGTTCCCGCAGGACGACGCCGAGCCCGCGCCGCCCGGGGCCGCCGACCAGCCACTGCACGACGTCGTGCAGGAGGCGCTGCAGGTGCACTTCCAGGTGAGGCTCGCCGCCGCCGACGCATACGACGACATCGCCGACGCTCACCATATCGTTGTCGTTTCCCAGGGTTTAGTGTTCAGGGAGAGGAACGCCGGGCGCAAGATCGACGCTCACATGTCGGACAAGGGATTCAACGTTCAGATCGGCGTCGACCCGGAGACCGGATTCCCGTTCGGCGGCAACGACGCCAACTGCGGCACCTGGATGGACAAGATGGGTTCCTCGGAGACGGCCGGCAACCGCGGGCGGCCCGCCACGCCGCGCGACGGCAGCGCGGTGGAGGTGGTGGCGCTGGCGCACTCGGTGCTGGCGTGGCTGGCGGCGCAGCACCGCGCCGGCCGGTACCCGCACGCCGGCGTCTCGCGCCGCCACCGCGACGGCTCGCTCACCGCCTGGAGCTTCGCGCAGTGGGCCGAGCGCATCCGGCTCAACTTCGAGCGCCACTACTGGGTGCCGGCCGCGCCCTCGGCCGCCGACCGCCGGCCCGACCTCGTGCACCGCCGCGCCATCTACAAGGACTCGCACGGCGCCTCGCAGCCCTGGGCCGACTACCAGCTGCGCTGCAACTTTCCCGTCGCCATGGCCGTGGCGCCGGAGCTGTTCGACCCGAAGCACGCGTGGGCCGCGCTGGACAACGTCGAGCGCCTGCTGCTCGGTCCTCTCGGCGTCAAGACGCTCGATCCGGCCGACTGGGCCTACCGCGGCGACTACGACAACGCGAACGGCGGCGACGACCCGAGCGTCGCGCACGGCTTCAACTACCACCAGGGGCCCGAGTGGGTGTGGCCGCTCGGCTTCTACCTGCGCGCGCGCCTCGCCTTCGCGCACGAAAACGGTCGCTACGCGCGCACCGTGGCGGCCGCGTACGCCGCGCTCGGCCCGCTGCTCGCCGCGCTCGAAGCTTCGCCCTGGCGCGGGCTGCCGGAGCTCACTAACGCCGACGGCGCGCCGTGCGCCGGCTCGTGCCCGACGCAGGCGTGGAGCTCGGGCGCCGCGCTGGAGGTGCTGCACGCGCTGGAGGCCGCGAGGCGCGCGCGGCCGCTGGGCGACTGACGCGCGCCGCCGCGCCGCCGCCTGCGACACGCGCCGCGCGCCGCCTCGCCCGGCCCGCGCCGCCTCTACGCCGAGCCCGCCGAGCGCCGCGCGCCGCGCCGCCGGCTCGCGCGCCTGGCGCGGCTGCTGCGCCGCGCGCCGCGCCCCGCCGCGCTGTCGCGCACCGTCTACAACCTGCTGCAGAGCCGCGGCGGCGCGCTCGCCACCGTGGTCTACAGCGACCGCTACTTCCGCTACGGGCTGCCGCTGCGCGCGTGCGCGGCGCCCGCGGGCCGGCCGCCGGGCGCCGCGCACGTGATACCGCTGCCAGCGAGCGCGCCGCGCGCCGCGCCCGCCGCCGGCCTGCTGCGGGGCGTCGCGCCGCGCCCGCCGCCGCCCGCGCGGTTCGCGGCGCCGCCGCCGCCGCGCCGGCCCGCGCCGCGCGTCTTCGAGCCGGTGTCGGCGGTCCGCTTCGAGAGCGTCCGCGAGCGCGAGGAGCCGCCGCCGCCGCGCCGGCCGGCGTTGTCGTACCGGCAGCCGGGCGGCGGGCTGGCGCCGCCGGCGGCACTGGTGGCGCCGCCCGCCGGCCGCCGCCGCTGCCCGTCGCCGCGCGGCTCCTCGTGGTCGCTGGCCGACGCGCCGCTGCCGCAGTTCGCGTTGCCGGACGAGGCGCGGTCGGCCGCGGCGCCGCCGCCGTCGGAGCCGGCGCGGTCCCGGCGCGGGTCGGCGGCGGCGACGCTGCACAAGGTGCTGAACACCGAGCGCTACAACAACGGGGCGGAGGGGCGCGCGCGAGGGGTCGCGGGGGGCGGGGACGAGGCGGCGCAGCGCGCGTGCGTGCGGGCGCTGCTCGCCTGGAGCGCGCTGTGCTACGTGCTGGCGCTGCTCACCTTCTACTTCCTCAGTCTCGCGTGACGCTCGCGCTGCTCACCTACTTCTGCTACCTTACTAACGTATAATTAATATTTGGCTCGATTTTTTTAATTTAACTACAATCAAATAAAATTATTATAGAAGACATACATTCTGTACTATATATATTTATATATATATATAGTCCATATACAAAAAAAATTAAACATTTTATACTATTTATGTATGTATAATAAACTTTTTTACTTTTTATAACATTAAAATTTTATATTATGATAGTTTTTAATAAACTTTATTAAAATGTTGCCATGTTGTAATTTAAGTAATAATTTATTTGTATAAGTACGTAACAAAAATCTAAATATAGCAGGGATAATGTGAAGAAATAGTACGATAACCGAAATTGTAATATACTTAGGTCGGATTTCACCAAAGAAACTGATCGCATTTTGTTCGAACTGAATGCCGTTTAAACGTGTTCAAAGCTTCATTTTGCATTTCACCACTACAAGTTTCGCTAAACACGTTTATAAATTCTGAATGCTCGATTTCCTACCGTTAACTCTTTAAACGTATTTAAAGCAGCTATCAGTTATCAAACAATCAAATTTTTGACAATATAATATCGGGAATAAATAAGAAATTACCAGTAGTGTAAAAAAAAAAAAATATCCTCCATAAAATAATGTTTACCTTGTTTATAGGTAAAGGTTGTTGTTATATATTTCGTAGTCGACGGTACTTATTAAATTAAAAGTTAAACAACTTAACCTAATTATCACATGATTGACTTATTAATTTTTCTTAAAATTATTTTAGTTAAATTACTCATTACATCAAATATTATTTTATGAACGTATAACACTGAACGACTGAAAATCTAAACTTTATTATCCTATGATTGGTGAAATCCAGCCTTAGCCAGCCATTATATTATAATTTTACAGTGTATATGTGTATATGAAGTACAAGTACTAAATTGTAATTTATACACTCTAATTTTCCTAGAACAGAAAAAGTCATCCGGTGTAATACACCAATAGGTGCATATGCTGTTGTCCTGATAAAAATACTCACATCAATATATTGTACTAGTTTATAATTAATATTAACATTATTGTTGTGTATGTGTCATCAGTATATTATTATGTAAATACTTATCCATTGGCCGTAGCCGTGCCACCTGACGAGCCGTGCTACTGCTGCTGTAAACTCGGTGCACCGTACACACACAGTGTACTGTTCTGAGTTCTGAGTAGGTACAGTGTTACTACTACCACTAGGTACCATCGCCATTAATAATAATGCACATTATATTAATTGTAATTGTTTTGTACTACCATACAAACTTATGATGTATTATAAATTGTCGAACATAAAAAAATAAGTAAATAAATAAATGTTATTATTCCATAAGGCAAATAAATAGTTTTGGTTTCTCGTTTTTTTTTTTTTTTTTTTTTTTTTTTTTTTTTTTTTTTTTTTACACTTTCATTACATAACTTACATTGTACATTGTAGTTAAGCTGTTTACTTCATTCACAGTACTGTACTCAGCCAGATCGCATTCCCGTATAAAAATATTCAAAATTAATTATGTCTACAGTTAATGTAGGTAATAAATTAAATAAGTATATATAGAATATAAAAATTAGGCAAAAAAAAGATAACGATGAGAATTATGTCACAATTATGAAGAAGCTAAATAAAATTGATGACCGTAAACCATTAAAAAAAAAAAAATTATAAATAAAATAAAATACGTAGTATTTTTTTTTTTTTATGATTAGATAATAAAGTAAATTATGTAGCTACATATAGTCTGCTTTTGTGACATTGCCAGGGTTTTTTTTTTTTTTTTTTTATTATTAGCCAAATAACTTTCTCATGTTGTAATGTATACATATAAATAAAATTTCGTCGGGATAGAAGATTTGCTCCTCCGACTCCGTTAGGAAGAGCAATGCCGGCCTCGCCGTCTCTAGTTGGTGGTGGACGGCGTTGAGATTGAAATGAATTCCCCTGATTTTGCAAAAACTGATTATGAGCAAGGGAAACGCCGTTAGAGATTTGCTCGGTCCTATTGGCCAAATTGAGCGGAGTATTGCCTACCCCAGAGTACGCAGGGCAGCCTGAGTGTGATCTCTCAGGGGTGGATTTTCCATTAACACGGTTACTGGTATTACCCTGGGATAAACAAAACTGGTTTTTTTTTTTTTTATCGAATGAAATTACGAGATCTTATTTTTCGTATAATCATCATTACATAATGTTACGAGTTGGTAGGTATAGAGCTTTGAACTTCAATGTTAAAAAGTAATCAGAGCATGTGTCTATAACGCGTCACTTGCTGTAAGCGTAGATCACGTGGAGAAAGAGGGCTCATTTTTCACCCAGGCTCGGAATAATGTTGACGACAGACTGACTGTATAATAATCGTGCAAAATGATATCTCGATTGAAGAGAGGTCGTCACGTTAATTGTAGGAGGCGAGATATTCTATAATGAGTACCGATATAATTGTCAGCATGGCGTGGAGGAACCGCCATAATCATTAGGAACTAATTGAAGTGCCAGTTACGCTCCACTCCTGTTGCTCCTAGTTAGTTCAAGTTTACCGCCGGCCGCCACCGCTAACGCTGCTCAATTTCTATCCGCATGTCCAAAACTATTATACAATAAAACGCATAAAGTGAGAATAAATCCGTAATGTGTTGTGTCTGTTGATCAAGAAGTTTTAAGAAAAACATTATTAAAAAAAAAAAAAAATTAGTCTTAGTGAATAGAAAAGAGAACCAGCGCCGAGAATCATCGGGAGAAGTCGAAGAAAGAATTCACCGGTGAGCTCCTTTGTCCTTTCTACCTATTCACTCCAGAATCCGAAATGATTACAAGTGAATGCCAGTAATTGCTTACTAATATGACTATCTCGGTAATCTACCGGTTTAGTACATAGCTTTACTTCCGATCGGCGCGGGTTCGAGTCTATGCATGTCGGAAGCGGCCGGCGGTAGTCGCCGCGGGCTGTGAACTGCTAATGCTTCTACACTGCGCCACAATTTACCGCCGACAGTTATATTGCTTTCCGCTTCGAAGGTTATTAACGAGCGTCGCTTTCCATTCCATCTTTGCTCTACCTCTTGTACTGTGCCTGCATGCAATTTATTACATCCAAATATTATGTAAAAAGTCTCGAAAATCGGCCAATATTTGATTGATTGATTGATTGTCAATTAAAACTTTTCAATTAACATTGCGCCCTTGTTCATTCCTCAATACGTTCCGCTCTTCAGCAAACACGTTACTTCTCGTTAATATTACGTATTAAAGTATATACTAAGTTGCCACAACTGTCAATATAGATTCGTATGAGTGGGCGATTCGGCACACGCGCCGCAGATATTTCTCCGCCAGCGTCGAATACAGGGCGGCGCGGCGCCTGATCGCCACACATACATATGTATGAAGAAAGTTATTTAATTTAGAGCACTAAGTCCTGTCGCTGACCGGCATATTTCCGTTTAACGCGGCAGCAGCGCTCCGTTCCGACACACGATCCTACTGGCAGAGTAACCGTAACCGACGTAGACAGTGATATTGACAGTGACAAGGCGGAGAATGACACTTACACAGATACCGACACAGCAATGACTCCGACCGAGAAAATGACAACGAACAACGATGACAATGACAACAACAACGTCAACGCAACGTCAACGACAAACACTAAGACAATGACAAATGACAACGCAACGTCAATTAGGACAACGACAACATCAACGACAACGCAACGACAAAGACAATGACGACAAAGACAATGACGACAAAGACAATGACAACAAAGACAATGACGACAACGACGACAACGATAACGATACGTCAATGGCAGCAACAACGCCGACTACGATAATGACAACGCAATGACAACGACTACGAAGACAACGACAACGACACGATAATGAGAACAACAACGACAACTACGGCGACTACGATAATGACAAAGCAATGACAACGACTACGAAGACAACGACAACGACACGATAATGAGAACAACAACGACAACAACGACGAATACGATAATGACAACGCAAAGACAACGACTACGAAGACAACGACAACGACACGATAATGAGAACAACAACGACGACTACGCCGACTACAATAATGACAACGCAGCGGCAACGCAACGACAAACACTACTCAACAATAACGACAACGCAACAGCAGGAATAAATGCAACGATATGAAAATGACAACTACATGAAAAAGACAACGACTACGACGACAACGATAACAACAACAATGCAACGACAACGACAACACGACAAGGACAGCAACAACGGCGACATCGACACCAACAACATAACATGATTAAAAACTGTAATAATAATAACAATAAACAACAAACAAACAAAAAATTGCATGCTAGGTGGCAGGTAAAGTAAAACTAGAAGGCGATGAAGTTTCATTCTGGAGTTAACACAAGTAACAGAAAGTACAAATAAAACCTCCGGTTTCGCCGACACCAACAACATTAAATGCTTAAAACTATAACAATAAACAAACAAACTACGCCATTGCACGCTAGATGGCAGGTAGGTAAGGTAAACATAAAATGCTTAAAACTGTAACAACAACAATAAACAAACAAACTAACGCCATTGCACGCTAGATGGCAGGTAAGGTAAAACTAGAAGGCGATGAAGTTTCATTCTGAAGTTTACACAAGTAACAGAGAGTACAACTAAAACCTCCGGTTAGGTTAGGTTAGGTTTTTTTTTTTTTTTTTTTTTTTTTTTTTTTTTTTTTTTCCTACTTGGCCTACCTCCCCACCGCTGTTTACAACAGGGTGGGCCGTCGTCTAGCTAGGGTCTTATGCTAGGGGGTACAGCCAAGGAAACACACTTAAGCCCGGATGTGAAATTCCAGGTTTTTTACATTTTCTTTATTAGACACATAACTTTCTTATTTACTACACTTAAACCTAGAGGAGAACTTAATTAGGGATTTACATTTCTAAGGGTTATCTATTTTGTTTTTGTTTACATACTACTATTTTAGCCTATTTTATTTCTTACTTATCTAATACAATTCTTACTATTACTATTATTCTTTTTATTACTTATATCTATTGCTTATCTATGACTGTATATCCACTATACACCTAGATACAGCTTTACTTATCGCTGTTTATGTTTGATACCTTGTTTATTATTTCTGTTGCGTACTTTAAAAACTTTTCTCTGTGCTCTTTATGCTTTATAATTTCCTTGTAGTTTTCTGTTTTTATTTCGATTCCTAGTTCTATTTCTAAGTCCATTCTTTTCCTTCCAAAGCGAGGGCATTGTGACATAATGTGTAATAGTGTTTCGGGTGTGTGCTGGTCACATGGGCACGACGGATTCTCGCGGCACCGAAAACGGTGTAGATACGCTCGGAATCCGCCGTGTCCCGTGAACAGCTGGGTGATGTATTTGTCTGCGGTGATTTTGCCGACGACCCTGTACGCATCGGCCGCGCTCGGGAAGAAGAGTTTTGTTACGGAAGCAGTCTCGCCAGACTGGTACCGCCTATCCCATTCGGCAATCGTCCGATCCCGGATCAGACGTTTGGCGAATGAGACCGACACCAGTCGTAGTCTGACCTCCTCTTCGACTTCAGGGCCGCTTCCTTGGCGAGATGGTCCGCCCTCTCGTTTCCTTCCCACCCCGCGTGTGCCTTAATCCAATAGATGTTTATTGTTTTCCCGTTTTGTTTACACTGAGTGTGCCTTCTTCTAAATTCTTCCGCTAGGGGTGGGGGCTTTCGGATTTGCAACCGTTTGCAGTGCTGCCCTGGAGTCGCTGAGAATGCCGATTGTGGTAGCAGGATGTTCTGATGCTATCCCAACCGCCCTGCTCAGAGCCAGGAGTTCCGCCTGGTAGACGGTGCAGTGTGCCGAGAGAGCAAGCTTGAGGGCCTTTGTTTCGGTCGCCCTGTTCCATACCGACAGAGCCGCACCGACCCGGCCCTCAATCTTGCTCCCATCGGTGAATATTCTTATTTCGCAGTCTTGTTGCGCTGTTTTATATTGTTCCTCGTCTACCAGGTCCCGGAACTCCAGCCTCCCCTGCTCGGCCGGATGGGGCTTGTCTGCCGCTGGCGTCATCCGTTCGACATCCCTGTCTCCCACTAGCCCATCGGCCCTCCCCCTCCTCGCCTCGTACAGTGAGGCAGCCTCACGTATACGTAGGTCTAGAGGGAGAATTCCTGACAGTACCAGTGCGGAGTTCAGGGACACCGTGCGGTAAGCCCTGCAGATTTTTTGGGCGAAGCCCCTCTGCACCACGCTCAGCTGCTTCCGGAACTCTATCTTCGTCACCGATTCCGACCACGCGCTTGCCGCATACATGATTATCGGCTCCACCACCGCTGTGTATATTGTCCTCGTAACTTCTGGGTGCAGACCCCAGTTCACCTTTGCCGCCCTGGCCAGCTGTTTGTAGATGGCTATCGCCTTCTTACAAACAGCAGCCATGTGGGCGTTAAAGGTTAACCGGTGGTCGATGGTGAGTCCCAGAGTTTGACACTTTCGGTCATGCCTATGGCGACCCCGCCCATGCTCAGACGTGGTGTGTCGTATTTCAGCTTGCGTGTGATTAGCATCGCACATGTTTTGTGCGGTGCGAATCGCAGCCTGCTAACGACACCCCACTTCCGAACATGTTCGAGGGCGGCATTTGCACGACTTTCAATGTCGAGGGCCGTCCACCCATCAAATACCAGCGCGACATCGTCCGCGAACGCTTGGCAGTAGACGCCTTGATGTTCTAGCTGTCTCAATAGGGGGTCTAGGAGGACATTCCACAATAGTGGTCCCCCTATCGAACCCTGCACACATCCTATCTCCGTTTGACGCGTTGCCCGTGCTCCAGCATACCTTACTTCGACTGCCCTGTCCCTCAGGTAGCTATCGATCACTCGTCTCAGATTTACCGGGCATTTTTCCTCAGCCAGCCGGACCCTTATCATCGGCCACCAAGCGCTGTCGAAGGCGCCCTCTATATCCAGGGATATTAGCACTATCATCTTTTTCTCATGGAGTTTGCTTCTGATGTGACTCATTAGATTATAGAGGGCGTCCTCGGCACTGCGCTGGGGCATGAATCCGTACTGGCGAGTACTAATCCTTGGCAACAGGTGAAATCTGAGACGGGCGACCAGCATCTTCTCGTACACCTTCCCCAAAACCGGTAACAGTCCTATTGGTCTGTACGACTTGGGGTCTGTGTACGAGGTCTTGCCTGGCTTCCTGAGGATCACGACAGTCGCCTCCTTCCATCTTTTAGGAAAAAGCTGCAGCACCAAGCACTTATTCAGCAGGGCTAGGAAGTATGCAGGGTTACCGCCAATCGCTCTCGCACAGATGTCCGCTGTGAACCCATCCGAACCTGGGGCTTTCTTTGGGTTGAAGGACTCAACCGACGCTTCTAATTCCGACATCGTGAAGGGGGGTCAGCAGCAATATCCTCCCTGCAGTTTATCTTTTCTGCTTTCTGCCTTATTTCTTTATGTGTTTCAGTGTCCGCCTGTTTGTTATCTCCAGGATAAAACCTCCGTGCAAGTAGATCGGCTGACCCCTGCGCGTCCAGTATTTTGTCTCCCTCGACCAACATTACGTCTTCTTCCCTAGCCCCTGTCCTACCTATTACCCTATATATGCCCTCCCACATTCCCTCTCGCTCCTGCTTTTCACAGAATCCCCTCCAACTCTCGACTTGTGCTGTTTTTATGGCCTCATGATATTTTTTATTTTGTTTCAGGTAGAGATCCACTACAGCAGCCCTCTGCGACGGCTGTGCGTTTCTGATTCGGCGCCTCCTGGTGACGACCTCACGCTTCATCTTCGTGAGATCGTCCGTCCACCACGGTATGGTAAGTGTGTCTTTGTGTTTTTTGTGTGGTATCGCTTGTGTGCATGCTTGTGTTATTGCTTCCGTGTATTGATCAATGGCGTGTTCGAGTTGTGAGTGTTGTGTAACTGTTTCGAGTTCCTGTGGTGTCATGTATGTGTCTTGCATAATTTGGGCCAATTTCTCATGAAATTGGCTCCAATTTGCTTTCTTTGTGTTGTAAATGCGTGTGGTTCGTGTTATCTCTGTTCCTTTTGGCTTTGTTAAGTGTACGTGGAATGTGATACCGTTGTGGTCGGAGCTGGTTAGAGAGTCATCTACTCTCCAACCAGTCACCAGGTTTAGTGCCTCCTCAGTGCACGCCGTCACATCGACGTAGCTACTGTAGTGTTTCCCTCCTCTCCATGTGTCGAAAGTTGGGGAGGATCCTGCATTAAGCACGTTCATTCCTGACTCGCATATAAGCCCGCGCATCAGCTCGCCCCTTCGGTCCTCGAGGAGGCCGCCCCACCAGATGCTCTTCGCGTTAGAATCTCCACCAATGATCAGCCTGTCGGTCCCCAGCCTATCCCTGATTCTCCCTAGCTGCTCCAGGTAAGGCTCTATGGGTTTGTTTGGTTCGAAGTAGAAGGACACAAACGCCATATTCCAGTTCCCAGTACGGACGCCCACCACCACGATGTTGTTTGTGGTGAGTTCCGGGTGTTGGGTGACCTGAAGGCCTCCATCAAACACTATGATGGCGGCCTTCACGCCACCCTCGCCATCCGTCCCGGGAGACTGAAATACTCTGGCTCCTCTGCGTCCCGCTACCCTCCCCTTCCCCCACATAGGGCTCCTGGAGCAATGCTAGTGAGGCCCTACGGCTGGCGGCCTCCATCAGCAGTTCACTGGTGGCTGTTCTACTCCTTTGCAGGTTTGCTTGGAGCACCAGGTGTTTTCGGGCATTCCCCTCGGTGACCTCAGCAGTACGCTACCGATGCCCGGGCTAACGAGTCCCATCTTTTCCTCACCGGACATACATCGTTGAAGGCCGTGTGGTGCGGGTCCTCTACTTCTGCCAAACGGCAGTTTATACACGTGGGCGTCGCCCCCACTATACGGTCGGTACACTCCGCTGCATGGTGCAGGCCCCCGCAGTAGCTGCACAGGTCAGCGGTATCTTTACAGTACCGCTTACTGTGACCGTACCCCAAACAACGGGTGCACTGCACCAAGGGGGATTGATCCTCTACGCGGACCCTTTGGAGGTCAATGTGTAGTTTCTCCTCCCCGAGTGCCCTTCTCCATACAGTGGGGGAGACGCTCAATACGATATGGTTGGTGTGTGGGTTTCTAGCCTTCTTCCTATATTTTATCATCACGCGGCCCTCCTCTCCGTTGAGGCCATCAAAGACCCCCCGGTTCTGATTCCGGAGCGCCATCAGCACCTCTCCATCCGAGTGCACTTTGATGACGTCCCTCAGAATCAGAAGCGGATCTCGGTTTTTGATGTCCTCGACGGTGAGGCCCTTCCCTGCCTTGCTGATCCTCTCCTTTATTTTTGCCCTATCTGCTTCCTTGACACAACCCACAATCACCTTCCTATCCTTAGCTTTCCTCACCCGCTCCACACGAACCCAACCCTCTTTCGCATCCACCGTCTTCCTGAGCTTTTCCAACACCTCCTCCGCCGTATCCTCCTCATCTGTCGATGCTATCACCACCGAGTGCAGCGTACCTCTCTCTACTACTCCTTTCCCTTTCCCGGTGGCTGCAGCTACCTCGGCGTAGGAGGCGTGGCTTACCCTTTCTTCCTTATCCCTTTCATCCCTTTCTTCCATACTCTTCCGTATCCCTTCCATTCTGTCCCTATTCTCCCTTAAAATTTTGTTGTTGTCCTTTATCCCTTCCAAAATGCTTTCTAATTTCCTATCAATTTCCCCGTCTATTTTTCCCTTTTCCGTATTCTCCCTTTCTACCTGTTTAATTTCTACTATTTTCCCTTCTATCTTCCCGTCATTTCTAAGTTTCTCGATTTCCGCTTCCGCATCCTTTATCAGGCTGTACAACCTCTCCACCTGCACGGCCGTGGTTAGGTTAGGTTAGGTTAGGTTAGGTTAGGTTAGGTTAGGTTAGGTTAGGTTAGGTTAGGTTAGGTTAGGTTAGGTTAGGTTAGGTTAGGTTAGGTTAGGTTAGGTTAGGTTAGGTTAGGTTAGGTTAGGTTAGGTTAGGTTAGGTTAGGTTAGGTTAGGTTAGGTTAGGTTAGGTTAGGTTAGGTTAGGTTAGGTTAGGTTAGGTTAGGTTGGGGCGTGGGTCGGGCAACCTCCTAGTATGGGCCTGCCATTGGGAGGCTTCCCCATCCTCGTGGATACGTCCGCGGGGAACGGTGGCCGAGCAATGGTTTGGTTCTGGTACGCCCCGGGCGGGATAGTAGTCGTTCCTTCGGGATACGGCTACTATGTCGGCCAGTAGCCCGGCAGGTTGGGCGGGTTGCGGATTCCTATGCCTCGACAAAAGTCGAGGATCCCGGAGTCAGGAACCCGCCCAACTTTCTTTTTAGTCTTCTTTTTGTTTGTTCCTTCTTCTTTGTTTTGTTTGGTTTTTTTTCTTCTTTTCGTTTTGTTTTAATTTATTCGGGTTTTAGTTTCTCTTTGGTTTTTATCTGTCTTTCTCTATCTGTTTGTCTTTTCTGTCTTTTTGGTTTCATTTTCTATTTCGTTTTCGTGTTGGCGGGAGTTCGGGACCACACCCGTAAAAAGGAAAACAATGAATATGGCTGAACGCAAAAAGGATATACCCCAGGGAGGTACCGGTCGCTCCGCGGCCGGAGAATCCTCCCCCACCGCACCGGGTTTGCCGGGGGTGGGCCGTCCCAAGTACTCTGGGGGGGACGCGGACAGTCGTAGGCAGGAGTGGGAGAGGGATGTGTTGAGGTGTGTCGAGGCCGTGCAGGGAATTGAGGAGTTCGAAATCGAGGTGGCCGGCATGGACTCCGAGTGCACGGGGTCCGCTATGTCGGCCGCTTCGGAGGACTGCCTCAATTCGCTGTCGGTCACATCCGAGGATGGCCATAGCCATAGCCTTAGGGTGAGCACGTCGCCCAAGAGGTACAGGCGTAAAAGGCGCGTCGTCGAGAGGCCACAAGATCTGGACTCCGACGACGACGTCGAACTCATTGAGGTGCCCACAACAAGGGCAAAAAAGGGCGCGAGCCCGAAACGAAGAGGAAAGGGGGCGCCAGCCGCCCGAATGGAGACAGAGGTGTCGGCGTCTGAAGCCGGTCCCTCCAGATCCGTCTCCGCTCCGGCGGCTGCCTCCCGCCTAATTGGCACTGACGTTCAGCGCGCCGACGAACTGGGCGCCACTATTGCGGACAGTGCCCTTAAGGTTCTTGCCGCGGTAAAAGTTTCCGGCAACCTTAAGGGCACCATAATAAGGGACATAAAGGGCGCCATCGCTAACATCTTGACGGCGTCCGAAACCCTGAAAAAGAGGTCGGCTAACGTCGAAGTAGCGACTCTCAGTAAAGAGATCGATCGGCTGCGGAGTGACTTGGCCCACGCCAGGTTGATGTCCAGCGGGGCAATTGAGGAGGCAAAGGCGGATAAGCGCGAAATAAACGCGCTCCGCAAAACGGCCCATT